TAGCATCAAGTATTCTACTCTATTCTCCTCCCTATCGATAACACTGGCACAAGATTAACCCACTGCCAATGCTACACTGATAAAAAAAATTATTTTTATTGAGATATTTCTTTCTTGGAACAAGTACACTGTTAGAATTTTTTTTCAATTTAAGTAACAGATGCATTTGAATTTTCAATATTCTGGACTTGAATTCAATTTTAGACTAAATTACTCATGGAATTGCGGATTCATCTTGGAAATTCAATAAAATTAAGTTTTTCATTATGAATGATCATTGAATTTTCAATCACAATTTGGATTTTCAAACCTATCGCGAAAATTAAGCAATAGATGGAAAATTCAGAAAAAAAGTTGCCTGATTTTTCATGATTTTCAGTCATTTTTATTGTCGTATAAACCTGAGAAATCAAATTCCATTAAATATTCAAGAACATTGAGTGATTTATCAATAACAAGATCAATAGAAATCCCATGTAAATTATTCGTTGTTAAAAATTTCAAGATTTTTTACTCGAAATTTCAAGAGTAATTTTCTAACAGTGTATTATCTACTTGAAACAATTTCAAATAAATCAAATCTTACGGTGAATATCAATTATTTCTTCTTGATACATTTCCTTGAAGCAAATAAAACAGTCCTTGGCGTCAAGTCACATGTATTCAACACACAAATGGAAAAGTTCTATTTTTTTTTAACCTAATTTAATCTCCAGTCAAGAAATTTTTCACTGTCGTGAATTGATAAAAAATTCGTACCTAGGAGGTGATTACATTGAGGAATGAGTTGAATGTTGTTTTCTCGAATGAAGCCGATGTTTAAATTGAGCTTTCCGTACATCACATTGAACGAAATTTCTGATATCCAAGTTTGTATTAAATAGCCGTAATCTGTAATTCTGTTATTGTAAACTCATGTGATTTTTTTTAGTCTAGAAATATGAACTTTTTTCAACTCAACGACACCTTCCTACAATCTCAAAGCTTTTTTCGCGCAACATATTCACCCTGATTCGACATACGAAATGCTCACTTCAATTATAATCGACTTGGAACAACATATGATCGTGTTGATTGAGATAACAACGTATTTAGTCATGAGAATAATTTTGATTTTTGTGTAAACCAACGAATTTCCGGAGTTAGCAAACTTTTGGTTAGAAAAAAATCAAATACTCTCATTATTACGACAAATAAAAGGACCTTCAATTCTAGAGAAGTTCGATTTCTCCCAATCAAATGTATCTCGAGAAGAGATAACTGGTATGTACTATGAAATCATGTTTATTTGAAAATTAACAACCAAATGATAAATGATTCAAATAAAATTCTCTTGATAAAATTTTTTTTTTCTGTCAGTGTAGTGCTAATTGCCTCGAGTATTTTTAGATCTTCCCTCTTTTTCCAACATTTCTACCCCCATTTATTATAATTGCACGAACATATTGTAATCAACGGAGCTCTCATCGCCCCAACGGAAATCATCGATTTTGCATTATGCCGTTAATGCCACAACTGTACATTTATCACACGTCACTGGTAGTTGTGAGTGTTACACGGACGTAATAGGTACACATTCATCAGCTTATGCTTTCCGATTGCACAATCATTCCAGGCGAAGCTGCCAGAACCATCCAGTAGATTTTGTCAATTCTCCTAGTCATTCTTGGGTCGATTCAACTGTGAAACATCGTCAATTGATGATGCAAGATACTTCATGGTTATTTTCATAATAATAAAAAAAACTAAAACTAATAATAATGATAATAATAATAATAATTCTCTGTATTAACCATTTCGAATGTATTTTTTGGTGAAAAATTGGTTTAAAATTTAGAATTTCTGCAACTTTTCTAAAATTTCAAATTTAGAATTCTCACATTTCTTTTTTTCAAGTCTTATTTTAAATATTTATTAAACAGTGGATTAAACACAGAAAAAACATTGTTGTAAAATTCTACAGATTAAACTATTTGATTCGTTGATGAAGAGTCAGTTATTTTTACAACTTTACTATCGTTTCCTTTCGAAAATGTAATTATTCAAGAAAATGAAAATTTTGTTAATCATTACAAAAACGTCATATTTTCGATGAAACTTCTAGAATTTTTTCTATTTTAGAAATTTTTACCGTCAGGGAATTTTTTTCATATAAAAAATCGAATCCAAAATTCCCTCGACCATCCGCAAAATTCTAATTTTTTACTTGAAAAATTTGAGATTCTAGGGTCAATTGGCCAGTGTTCAAACGAATAAGAGTCGTCAAATACCAATGATCGAAAGACCAAGATTCGATAATACGGGAAATTTTCACCATATCTCATTGAATTCATGAACATCATTCATTACTAGACATTTGCGCGCGCTTTCGCGCGCGCTTATCTATTTGTTGTGAAAATGAAGAAATCGAATTTATTAAACTTCATATACTCATAGATGTTTTATAAATATTGATAATGACTTAAAGAGAATTAAGAGAAGGAAGAGTGAAACATCAATGAATAATTTTTAATCTTCGATTAATTCCTTTTTTTACGTTTTAAAATAATCTGATTAAAATCTGTAAGGGTTGAAAAATGAAGGGAGGGTTATAAATTGATTTCCCAGAAAACTGAAAAAAGTTCTTGAATTCTTCGGAAAAGTCCACAGTTTTCCAGATAACCGTAGCTCTTCAAAGATTTTTTTCGAGTTATTTGGGAAACCGAAGAATTTTCGTGAATTTTATAGAGTTTAGAATTTATGTGTGAAAATCTGAGAAGCAAGAATTGATCATTTTGGCGTGTGATAAATATGAAAAAATTATAATTTGGGACGTGAAGAATAATTTGTGAGTTAAAAAAATTTAGAAATACTATGTTTTTTTGTCTCATGATCAACAATTAGGCAATTTAGATATGTTTTGATATAAAGATCAACTTCACACATGAAAAAATGAAAAATATAACGCAGAACAAATTTTTGCCATTTGAAGAATTTGAAAATACCAGGGATTTTTTTCAGCGCCTACTTCACGTGACTCATTGACCAACCAGAATTGAGGATTAGCGGTCAGGCAGTTTCGAGACATTTCGATATAAAACAACTTCACGTTTCTTTCATCTTTAGTAAATAGGATTCATATTGATTTTTAGAAAAGCCAAAAGTCCCATTTCACTGCATTAAGCATTTGTTCTACGATAAATATATCGTCGCATTAAAATCAAAGGGGCGTAAGTGCCATTTCTCTGAGATTTTTTTTCTCTTAATACCAAAGGGGCGTATGTTTTTTTTTCCTTCGAAATGGAGTTTTCTCAACTTATGAAAGGTTTTTTGTGGACAAATTTCTGAAGTGGCAAATGGACGTAAGTCCGACTAGCAAGTACTGAAGGGGCGTATCTCCAGCACATACGCCTCTTTCTTTTTATACTTTTTGTTTCTTTTCTAGCTCATATTGAGAATGAATAATTCCAAAGGGGCGTAACTCAGGCACATACGTCCCTTTGTTTTTGAAGCAATAATCACAGAGGGGCGTAACTCCAATATATATGTCCCTTCATTTGTTACTGTTCGTTCCTATTGATTCATCAAGTATAAACGGAATCACATGCACTACAGCCCTAATAATAAATAATATTTGATTCTACATTAACCTCCCCTCCCTCCCTCTCATCATGAATGTTCAAATTATTTCCCTTTGATTTTTTGCNCGTATGAAATTTCGAGTCGTGAGTGCTTTGAACACTTCGGAAGAAAATGAGACCATAAAGGAAGAAGAAAATAGTTAAAGCGTTTTATGTTGATATAACAATATAAAACTCATTATCGCGAGTAGACCTAAGATATAATGAGAGAGAGGCGTATGTGGGACTTACGCCCTTTTCGTTTTATTTCAACATGAAATGTGTCATCCGAAGTACACAACACATAATGTAAAAAGGGCGTAAGTGTCATTTTTTGAATGAAATGAAACAGGCGTAAGTGTGGAGATACGCCCCTTTCCCGTTGAAATATAGCAATTACGCCGTTTTCCTAGATTTTTTTTCCGATTTTTGGTCAGAAATTCCATGAAAATCCGAAAAAACAGGAATTCGGAACATACGCCCCTTTCACTTTTAAAATGGGTTTTTTGGCACTTACGCTCCTTTGATTTTAATGCGACGATATAAATTAGTTCAATCACTGGACGAGTTCGAAGACTGTTGCGTTTACCCTATCTTTCAACACAATGACGCGACTCCCTTCAAATCGGCATTTCATTCTAAATATGGCGTCAAAGCGCGTGCCGCATCTCTCCATTCATCAAAGAGTCTATAAATCACTTATGACATTATCCATTTATGACATTATTTTTCCTCTGATATTCCCCATATCTGTAATCATTGCATCCAAAGCCTTCCACCCGATCCACCCTCCTAAATTACACAAAATACATTATAGAAATTCAAATCTATTCAAGGCGTACGTATGTAGCTTACTAGTAAGCAGCGCAATACGTAAATTTCATTGACGTAAAAAAAATCAAAATTTTGGTAATCATCAGAACAACGTCATATTTTCCATGAAACCACGACACATTTATAATTCCTAGTCCGACCGTACGTGGAAGTTTCTGGAATTTCTCCTATTCTTGCAATTTTAACCGTCAGAGTTTTTTTTTGTCGGTATAAAAAATCAAATCCAAAACTGTCTCGACCTTTCACAAAATTCGAATTTTTTATCTCAAAATTGAAGATTCTATTTTTCAACACATAATGAATAATGACGCGACTCCCTTCAAATACGCATTTCATTCTAAATATGGCGTCAAAACGCGCGATTCTCTCCATTCATCAGAGTCTATAAATCACTTATAAGATTATCCATTTATGTAATTATTTCTTCCTCTAATATTTTCCGTGTCTGTAAACACTGCATCCGAAGCCTTCCACCCGATCCACCGTCCTAAATTACCCAAAATACATTATGAAAATTCAAATCTATTTAAGGCATACGTAGCAGCAGCGCCGTGCGGCTGCGCGTGAAATTCTCTGACCATCGGGTTTGTCAAGTCACGGGATTGTATCATATCTGGTATCATCGCTTAGTCACCAATTCTCGTACTTTCCTCAACCCCTTCCACCAAATGCCCTTCTATAAAGACAAGCGACGAGTGATTGACCAGCATTGACGCAACAGATTTTGACACATATCAGTCAGTGATAAAAACAGAAGACAAAGAGAAGATTTTGACACATCGCAGTCGTGCATTTGTGTTGGCATTTTGTGGACGGAGACGAGTTCAACTCGTTCAACTGCTGCAGTTTCATCCAGAAATAATTGATAAAAGTCGCTGGGGGCGGAGAAAATGGCTGGAACCGTGAGTTTCAAGGTCTACCTGACGTCTGACGATGAGGGACAAGAGGAGGTTCGACGTTTTGGAGTTGATCCAGACGTTGTCACGAATTTTCTGTACCTGAGGGAGAAATTGCAGAGCATTTTCCCGAGTGTCAGGGGCAGGCATTTCACCATCTCCTGGAAAGGTACGGTCTCTGTTGATTTTTGATTGTCGGTGGGTTTCGTTACGACGGGGAAATTGCGTCGCGAATTATTTGTTTACAGGGGAGATGTTTTCTTTATTTTTACGTCACTCCTGGAAAGTGACGCAATTCCTTGCAGAATAGTTGCAATTTCGTCTGCTTGTGACGATGTGATTGGCAATAACTCGCAGATATGATGCAATTCAAAGGAATTGGTTCCGAATGAAAGCATTGTAATCGTTCTAATTAAAGTTTTGGATTTTTCGTGTTATATCATTTCTAGCGCATTTGCTAGGTTTCTCTATGAAATTTTTTCATACATGGGGGTTTGATGATTTTTGCTTCTGCATGGAAGCATTGCAATCCTTCGATTTTCACATTCTCTAATTTTCATTGGAAATGATGCAGAATGGTCTGAAACGTAAAAATACGAAGTTTGCCGAGCATGTTTGTGTGTGAGCACGTCCACCGCCACCTTCCCGGTGAATTTTTTAGAAAATTGGGTAATTAAGTGGCTAAAGTAATTCCAAAAATCGAGAATTTTGTCAGATTATAGATCTTAATGAGGACTAACTCTGTGCAAAAGTTCAGCCCGATCGATCTAATAGTTTTGGAGAAAAAGCAATTCGTTTTTAAATCGTTTTCCGCATATAACTTCAAAACTAGAGGACCGATTTTGATTTTTTTGTTTTCAAAATATTCGTTTCGATGCCTTCTATCTGAATCAATCAAAACGTATATACCAGTTCATACAAAGTTTTCGAGATATTCCCGTTTTTGCGTTTTTTCATTTAAAAAACTCTGCAAACACTATTTTGTGCAAAAATCGAGATATCCACTTGAAATTTGGACAGAATCTTCCTCTCATGATAACAATGTTTCGTATTGAAGGTGGGTTCAATCGCATCGAGTAGTTTCACTTTCTTTTTCAAAACATTTGTTTTGATGCCTTCTGTCGAAATTAATGAAAACATCAGTTCATACAAAGTTTTCGAAATATTCCCGTTTTTCCATTTGTTCATTAAAGAAAACTTTGTAAACACTCTAGGTTGTGCAAAAATCGAGATATCAATTTGAAATTTGGACAGAACATATGTACCTGCTCATACGAAGTATTCGAAACATTGGAATTTTGATAGCACCCATGGAGGTGGCAGTAACCATGTGAAATTTTTGCTGCTAGTCAGTGTTAGTGAAGCTAAAAACTTTTGTAATACTTCAGACCATTCGGAAACCTGCCATCAATGTACTGATGGCGAAAAAAAATAAAACATCACTTAGTGACATTCTCACTGTCACATGGCGCGCTGTCATATGCTCGCTGTCCCCTGCTTGTTTAAAATGTCAATCACAATTTTTTGTTAATAATTTAATGAAAATGTTGACGCTTCATATTATCCACTATTCGAGAAATTGAAATATCTCATATTTCATTTCTGATTCTTAGCGTAATGAAGAATATTCCATTATAATTATCAGTTACATGGATACACTAATAAAATAATTGCAATTCTCAATGTCTCATTCACAATGTCATGAAAAAGTTTTTTTTCATCAACTTTTGTTGACTAACTTTTTTTACTATTGGGAGTACTGATGAGAATAATAATTTTCTATTCGATAGAAAAGAACATGCGGTGCGAAAAAATCACAGATATTTGAACTATAGTGTATCGTCTACCCCCACAGATAACTCCCACTCCCCTGTTAGATCTCGATCTCAACGTCCACTAGTCAGTTGGTCCCCTGACTCTCCAGCAGCCAAACTATGACTTCGTCATCGCTGAGTCTATGTTCTCTCTTCATTCGAAATTCCCGAAGGTTTTTCATATATTTCTTATATCGAGACGACAATATTAATTATTTTCACTAATTTTATCCACAGTTCTCTTTTCCAGTAATATGAAATATTCCGTCTCTAATTCAATTGACTAGATTAGGCCGATTACACTTCTTTTTTTATTCGATTGAAATTCGACATCACATTTTCTATTTCCACCCTCTGGGTCCTCTCCTGGGTCTTCCTCTGGACTTTGGATTTTGCTGTTTCATTTTCGTTTCAATTAATCCATCGACAAAATCTTTTCCCATCAAAATTTCTCAATAATTTTCCATTCTACTGAATGGAAAATTATTATTCTCATCAGTACACCGAACAATAAAAAAAAGTTAATAAACAAAAGTTGATAAAAATTGTTTTTTGCTTTAATTGCGTCAAACAGTCGTTTTTCGACTGTTTCATTTTGCCCCACTATCCCCTATAAAAAAATTCAATCACAATGTTTCATCATTAGTTCAATGACAACATGGACGATCAATATTATCTATTATTCCTGAAATTGAAATGTTTCATATTTCATTATTAATTGTTATCGAAATGAAGAATATCCAATTGTAATTATCAGTTAATTCACAAATCCCCCATTTCCGAGAAAACATAATCGAAAATGTTTTTACATTCCCAGATGAGGATGGTGATAACGTCATAATTTCGAGTGACGAGGAGCTGCAGATAGCCCTGAACGAGACAGCCTCAGCGAACGTTCGCAAGCTCTACCTGACCCTCCACTCCGAATACGAAAAGTCTGAGGATCACCAGCAGCCGGATGCCTCCCCCAAGGAATTGGCACTCCACGCCGGAATAATTTGCGATGGGTGTGACAAAACAGTTCAGGGATTGCGTTACAAGTGTCTCCAGTGCGCTGACTATGATCTCTGCTCGAGGTGCGAGGCCAAGGGGGTGCACGAGGAGCACTGCATGCTGCGTCTGAGTGTTCCCGTTCAATGGAAACCCCATTATAGCAAGCGTCTGGCTCACCATATGAATCGTTTCGTTCGTAAAGCAGTCCACAACAATATTTTGTACTGCAGGTAAGGATGCAATTGAAAATGATCTGTCAATTTCTGAAAAAAACAAGTCGACAATTGCATTTTTCCTTCCGAATGGAAGCCTTGTTTTTGACCGATTTTTCGATTTTCTAATTTTGATTGCAAATGGTCTAGAGTGTTATGAAACGTGAAAAAATGATGTTTTTAGGCTCATGGCTGTATGTATCTATCCGACATCTTGGGTTTTTGGTGATTAATTTTTAGAAAATTCAACATAAATACGGTGAAATTTGTAGATAAAAATCTGAAATTTTGGATCATTGTAGCTATCATTGAGCTCAACTTTGGCGCGCTGTTTCAGCCTGATCGGTCCAGTAGTTTCTGAGATATAACAACTTGTTTAAATTTCGTTTTTCCTCAAAATCTCAAAAACTACTGCACCGATTTCAATTTTTTTTTCAAAATACTCATCTCGATGCAGGTCAATTACAATATATATTGTCTCTTTAATAGACAGTTCGGAGATATTGCCGTTTTTCCATTTTCATGAAAAATCTCGTACGCACGATAACTTGAGAAAAAAGGAGATAACAAGTTAAAATTTGGTATGGTTCTCAGACCAAATATAGTTATCCTAACACAAAGAATCGGAAACTTAAATTTGAGCGATTACAAAACTCCAATTGGGAAGTAAAAATGAGACAATTTCATGTCACAGGATTTTTTAAGATTTTTTCTACATTTTAACCTTCTCTCTAATCTCGAAAAATTCATCTTCTCATAAGACTGTGTGTTACTTTCCCACTTCTGAATTAATTATTATCAATAATACCAGATTGTCAATTGAGCACGAACTTAACCAGAATGTTTTTATTCATATCAACTTCCGTTTAGAATTTATTTCAGATTTTCATCTTCAAAATTTAAGTTGTGGTTATACTACTTTAACTTGAGGCAATCAAAAGTATCAGCTTGACAGTTTGAAAGTCTCAACTTGAGACTTTCAAAACTCAATGTAAGAATTTCAAGCTTCAAATTAAGACTTGAAAATCTTCACACACGAAGAAATTTAGTAGAAAAACTTGGCGAATTAGCTAGACAATTATATTGGATTTCTATTGAACTGTCTATTAGTTTTGGGCCGATTCTATTGAAGTATTTTCTATACAACTTCCTCGGCTCAAATTTTCCAAGTTTGTTTCATTCATTTTCCTTTCATCAAGAAAATCAAACAAAGAAACTTCCAAAATTTGCGCCGAGAACATTCTCTAGAAAATAGTTCAATAAAATAAATTGTATAGAAACATTGAATTCTATTGACTTTTTCTATAGAATATTTTCTCTTGAACACTTCAATAGAATCAGTCAAAAACTAATAAAAAGTTTACTAGAAATTTAATACAATTGTCTATCGAATTGACTAGGTTTTTCTATGAAATTTTTCATACGTGTTATTTTAAGACCATTGAAATCTTAAACTCAGGCATTCCCTTATGGCTATACTAAATGAAAATTTTACTGCAATTTTACTGACTTGGCGAATGTAAAAAATGAGAATAATTTTGCATTCCCATCAGCAGGGAAGCTGAGGATGTCCCCAGATGTCCCTTCAGCAAAGAGAACAAGGACGAGAAGCCTGGAAAGGACAGCAAGTTCCATTCAAAACGCCATGGCAGACGTCAGTGCAGTGGGAATGAGGGACAATCCTGGCTGGACACCTTCGCTGTTTACCTGAATGACTACGCGAATCTGCCTGGGGAGTGCCCCATGAAGGAGAAGCCAGAACAAGCCACTGAGGAGAAGAAAGAAGCCAAGACATCTGATTCTCATGTCGAGTTGCTAAAGATGATTGGCGAGAATCTCTCCCAGTTCCTCGATCCGCTTGGCGTCAACATGAATTTCCAGGTGAAGGTTAATGACAATGTGGAGAATAAGAGCTCTACTACTGCTCCAACAACTTCGAGTGCTCCTGAGTCGAGTGCTCCTGCTCCTGAGTCGAGTGCTGCTTCAACCGCTTCAGATTGTGATGTTAACAAGGAAAATCCTGGGGAGAAAGAGAATACTCTTAAGGAGAAGTCACCTTCTCCTGCAAGGTCGATGTCTAGTGAGGGAGCTTCCAGTGGGGAAAAACCTGAGGTCGAGGGGTGGACTATCATCCCACCAGCTAATGGTGCTATTCCGAAGACTGTAAGGATTTATTAGAATTCTTCTTTAATTCTGTTCCATTTTATCTTATTTTTATCAGTTTTTTGTGTTATTTCTGTTCTATTCTATTTCACTTTTTTTCTGTTTTCTTTTATATGAAGCAGTCATGAGTCAATTTAATTCTTAAAAATAGAGTTAGTGAAATTGTCATGAAATTCATATTCTATTTTTCAATATTATAATTTCTCCTTCGTTTATTCTGATTTATTTTCTCATTTATTATTTTATTTTATCTTTTGATTTGCTAGGTGACACCACCATCAGCACCTGTTGTCGAGGAGAAAGCAGCAACCCAGCCGATTTACCCAAAGCTTCTCCAACCCGAGGAGAAACCATCGAAAATAATCTATCATCCAAACCCAACGATCCAGAATTCTGTTGAAACTATGATGCAGATGGGTTTCTCCAATGAGGGGGGTTGGCTCACTAATCTCCTCGTTTCGATGATGGGAGACATCCCCAAAGCCCTCGACGCTCTCCAGCCAGTCCAGCGCAATTAAATGACTCTTAATCACTCTATGTTCTACCAGTAATACAATTTATCTCGAGCTTTGAAGTTTCTTTGGTTTTGGGATTTTAAATGAATAAATAAACAAGTGAAATAAATGTTGCATGCATTTAATTTTTGCAGAATTATGGATTATTTTCCACTTTATAAATTCATCTTATTATTACTTTTTTGAGATGACTTCATTCCAATTCATTTTGAGTTCATTGTTTAAGCATATTTTGATTTGCGAAGTTCTGAAGAATGTCGTAATTTAATCATGAAATTGAAATAAAGAAAATTAAGGTTGAAAATCAAAATAAAGAAGAGTAATGTTGAATGAATGTTGAAAATAAAGAACATAAATGTTTCATGCAATTGAATTTTAAACAGACTTTTTGATTTTTTTCACTTTGTAAATTTAAATTATTATTACTTCTCGTTGAATTCATAATTCATTTTTTCCTTTAATTTGTGAACTTTTAAAGAATATGATAATTTCATAATGACATTTACATATTCTGTCAATGAAAAAAATTAATGTTTGATTTTTTCCTTTTATAAATTCACATTATTACTTCTTTTTCAATTCATGATTCTTTTTCTCTTTAAATTTGCGAAGTCCCGCAAAAATATGACGATTAAAATGAATGTTATAAATACAATGAACAATGCTAATAATATTCTAAATGTGATAAATATAAATGAATAAAATAAATGTTTGAAGCAATGAATTTTCCCACTTTATAAATTCACATTATTATTACTCTTTCAACATTTAGTATTACAAAGCAGCAGTTAATCGCATCAATTTGAAAGGATTTCTGTTGGAAAGTAATTCCAGTTCTCGTTGGCCAGCGGGAGTGATGTCGCTCACCCATTTACGATTTTTATAGTACTCCATCACTGCTTCAAATTCATCAGCTGTATAATTCTGCACGTGAACTGGTAAAAATGGATCTAACAGCTCGAAACCCTCTTTTCCCAGGAGATAACGGGGGTAAATCGATTGCTGTGCCTCGTTCTGTAATATAATATGAACGAGTAATTCCATGTAAACAACCAAGTAGACAAATTGAAAAGAAAATTGCAAAATGAATAAATAACAATTGAAAAAAAAAATACCTCAGAGCAAAAATTATAAAACAGGCTGTTGAAATTAAATAAATAGAGCTTTTGCATTCTCATTCTAATAATAAATTATTTTATCAATGAATATAGCCTTTGAAGATGTCTTCCCAATTTTTGAATGGGTTAGGGTTCCTTAATCGCTTGCCAACCCCCATATGACCCCCATGATCGTTCTGACCCTTATAACCTTCAATCTGATCCCTGTGTCCCTTAATCAGTCTCTCGTGACTCTTATTGTGACCCTTGTGACCATTATTCTGACCCTCACGACCCTGATTCTAAACCTCGTGACCCCTATTTTGACCCTCATGACCCTGATTCTGAACCCCGTGACCCCTATTCTGACCCTCATGACCATTATTTTGACCCTTGTGACCCTTAATTGTGGAGTCTTAATTTCGAGTACCAAATTTTTTTTCACCAGAAGTCAATTTGGATTTTTATAATATAGAGAGAAATAAACTCACCTGAACAGCGATTTGATCGACAGTTAGCACGACAGCTCCATTGCACCAATCGCTCTTGGCAATATTCAAGAATGTTTTAGTCAGAGTTACTTTGTCTGGATACACTAATCTTCGATTCTCAACCCGAATCTCCGTGTCTCGTCCCAGGAGTGCATTGAATCCATCAATCACGACGAGAACTTTACATTTTCCAGCGATCGATGAAATTTTCAATTCATCGGAGAGAACTTCGATTATGTCGCAGGCGTATTTTATGCGAGCTATTCCAAGGTCTATTAGTTCCAGGATGGGGGTTCCACTGGGAGTGTGCTCACGCACACTCCATTCGTAGGTTTTTGTTAATCTCAACTGAAATTCACAGATGAAACTGATGATAAATACATAAAAATAATTTGTAAATACCTTAAAGAATATGAATTGAAGATATAAAATGAGTAAAAGAGGTGATTTGTAATTTGTGAAGCAAAATATGAAGTGTGAAGCAGTAGCGAGAGTTTAAATAATCCAAAATGAGGATTCCATCATTTTAAATAATGATAAAAAAAATTTCAATTGAAAAAAAAAATCATTTCTTTTTTAGTCGTAAATTATTTAGTTGCAAAAAGATATCTCCAGATGTGGGCCGGCTCACGCAGACTCCACTCGTAAATCTTTGCTAATCTCAACTAAAATTCACAGATGAAACTCATCATAAATACATAAAAATAATTTGTAAATACCGTAAAAGATATGAATTGAAGATATACAAAAAGGAAGAGAGATGAATTCTAATTTGTGACGCGAAATATAAAGTACGGAGCAGTAACGACAGTTTAAATAATCCAAAACGAGGATTCCACCTTTTTAAAAACTGATTTTCAAAAATTTAAACAGAAAAAAAAACAATTTCTATTTTAGTCGTAAATTCTTTCATGAACTAAAAATGCAAAATAAACCTCTAGAGGTTTATGGGAAAAATATGAAAAATCTACTTATTTCAGGTGATTTAAAGAATAAGATAATTACATCGAGCTCCTGTAGGAGACTGAGATTTTGGTGTTTGAAGCGAATCAACCAGGCTGCTGCGTCAATAGGCAGATCGTAGAAACCCTCTTTGGTGGTGGATGCTGCTACTTCTTTCGGTTTTTTGTACCAATCTCTCACTATAAACAATACAATGCTGCTGAGGATGAAAACAAATTCTGATTTGATAATTAATTGGTTTCTTTACCACATAAAATTTTTTTATGCTGAAGAAAAAATTAGATTCAATGGTAGAAATGGTTGCATTCGATAATACTAATACTAACTGAATCTCTCTTGCAAAAAAATATATCTATCAAAACGTAATAAATAAGTAAATCCCTCCTAGAAATCTTAACCCCTCACATACGGGGCCTTTCTGATACCAAGTCTACCACACGCTCAATACTCTTCGCATCCCATATTTTCTGATGAATGAAAAATTATAAATAAAATATATAATTGAAGCTACAGTATTCACCTTCCCAATGGTATTAGTCCGATTGTATTATCTGCCATAGTTTCGGAAATATTCAATTTTGAAAAGAGCTGTGCGTTTTTACATGGGCCGATATGACATACCGAGCCCGTACGTGAGGGGTTAAAGCCATTCGCATAAACAACAATAATTCTCTACGTCTTTCTTCATTCTCATCAACCCTTCAAATTGTTTCTCTCGCATCCCATACTTTCCAACGTACAAGAAATCCCTATTTACCTCTTTTTGTGTTTTGATCTCTATTGTACACTGTACATTATCATAACATTCAACTAAATATCTCTGTAAATACCAGGCTGAAGGCCTTCGGGCGATGGCCAGTCGCAAACCCCTTCCAGCAAATCACGTTAAAAATAAATAAATAATGGAAGGTTTTATATTGTTATGAATGTCCATTTTCCCTTTAGAATTCATGCCATCATGCATGCATTAGTTTCCTTCTTTCTTTCATTCGCTTTTCAATTATTTTTCATTCATAACTATTTTCACTTCTTGCTGTATACTTTATGTAATCGCGTTATGATTTTCACTCTTTTCCGACGTTTTTTGCATTAGTATCAGCGCGCATTATAGCAATTCCATGCTTACTTTTTGTGTTTTTCTGTTTCCTGCTTTATGACTTATGTCATGGTGACTTCGTACAACATAATGTATAGTTAATAATAAACTTCAATCAATCAATCTTTTCACTTGAACACCTTCTCTGAAGTTAGTGTTACTTTTGTTTTATCTTCATTCTTCTTTCTTGTTTTACTGAATTAATTTCATCAACTTTCTATCGTCCTATTCATTTTAATAAGCCCCTTTTTAAATAATCAGGCCTATTTCAATATCAACGTACCCCAAGGAACGTGAACAAGAATTTTCCTCGAAGATAATCCATAATGTAGTATATGTGCCAATGACAGTGATTTGCCAGCCCCATTCTCTCCATCTGAATTGAAAAAATCAATATAAAATTGAGAATGTCAAAAAATGATATGACATGTGTGAAAAAAATCAATAGAAAAATCAAAATCGCTTGGATTTGACAGTTCAATTGCATAATCACCTCAAGAATTGGCGTAAAAAACAGACTTTTTTTAGTAGAACTCTAACAAGACTTAAAGAGAATTCTTATATTCTTAGAGTTCCTATAGAAAATTAAAAAAATTTATCAGAGAAGGTAGATTTTTCTATTAAATTTGGGTAATGTGTGACAATACATTTCTCCAGATGTACTTCAATAATTTATACATTAAATTCCATGGTTTATCAGTAAAATAACGATAAAAAAAACGAAGAGCGCTTGCTTTCACAAATTAGCAATTTTGTGTTGTGGAGGAGAGTAATTGACTCATCTTAACCCAGATCGATCTTCTGGTGAATTTTAGGTTCTGTCGCTTTATATCATTCCACAATAATCTATACATCAACAATACACGCATGAAAACATTCAATAGAAAAACTTAACGAATTCGCTACCAAACTTTATTGGAATTCTCTAGAAATTCTGTTGGGATTCTATTAAAATTCTAGGAAATTCTCGTTAAAATTCTATTTGTTTTTTGCGCTGATTCTATGAAATATTCGATAGGAAAAAGTCAATAGATTTCGATTTTTCTATATGAATAGTCTCTTGGAATTTTTTCCATAAGAATACTTGGGCATGAATTTTCTAAGTTTTTTTCACTCGGATCCTGCAATGCGAAACAAAACAAAATATAACGGAAAAAACTTGGAAAATCCATGCCCAATAGTTTTAATAGAAAAAATCTAAAAAACAAAATTTTAACAGAAAAATCGAAATCTATTGACGTCTTCCTATCAAATATCTAATAGAATCTGGACAAAAAACAAATAGAATTTTAACGAGAATTCTTTAGAATTTTGCTAGAATCCCTACAGAATTTCCTGAGAATTACAATAGAATTTTCTAGCGAATTCGTTAAAGTTTTCTATTGAATTTTTTCATATGTGTAATTAAGAAAAAAATTACGGAAATTTTTGAATTCTGATATCAAGCAAATGGAGGGGGGTATTCACACTACCTAAATTGGAAATGTCAAAATACAATATGGAATTGGAAACGTTGTCCTTAAAAAAGTGATTTTGAAATATTACATAAAACGTATCTGTTGACCGGTCTCGAGTAATCCGTCAATTTCAAACAGGAGATGACTTCCAGCACTGGTTCCCTTACGAGCAGACACGTCTCCAGGAAGGTTGTAGTCTGATTATGAAATGACTTGGGGAGTCCTCCGTGCAGGAATACTGTTTGCACCACTGAGGGGGGCATTGTGTAGAATCTGTTGAGGTGCTCTCTCCCATGATTCGATGGGTCACTCTCATTTGTTCGAAAGGTCTGAATGGGCTCGTCATTCACTCGTTTCGTCTCTGTCACTGTGGCGAAGCGTCTTGCAACGTTGCACGGTATTCTTCTCAATAATTCTAAGAGCAATAATCAACGAAAATGACGATGATATTTTGGTCCAACAATCGATGGTTAACAACGAGCATTCAAAGGTACTTACGAACAAAGAGAACCATTGCCACTGACTATTAATCCACTCGTTTAGTGGGTAAAGTTATAGTTCATCGGGAAATATGGAGATCAATGTTTAATAAATGTAGAGAAGCATTATTTTTTATTGAAAGGGAGGATTTTCGGTGAGTGAGGAGGTTAGGAAGCTGGAAAACTTAAACATGAGGATTCTAGGGAATTTATTGGTTATTTAGTGGTGAAAAGTTGGGGGAGATGTCTCAGAATGATTGACCAATCCAAAGACAGAAAATTAATCACGTGATGGAAGTTGACCAAATGAACGAGAAATAATCTCCTCGAAATATAAACAATTGGGAATTGTCAGTCACTTATTATTTTAGATGTTTGCATTCAAATTTTCTATTTTTTTTATTTTTTGAACTAATATAAAAAATTTCGGGGGAATTTTAAACTGATTTCTCAGAAAAATTCATGAAATAATTACAAAATTACCATTTTTAAACACTGATATTCTTTTGATTTTTTTTAACTACTAGGAGGCTACGCTCCTTGCTACCTCCGCTCGCCACCCCCATAATCCTTATTCTGGCCCTCGTGACCCTTAATCTGACTCTTGTGATCCTTAATCTAATCCATATGATCCTTAATCCGACCCTGGTGACCCTTAAGCTGATCCTCGTGACCCTTAATCTGACTCTTGTGATCCTTAATCCGACCCTGGTGACCCTTAATCTCATCCTCGTGACCTTTAATCTGAATTATATGACCTTTAATCTGACTCATATGGCCCTTAATCCGACCCTCGTGACCGTTATTCTGACCCTCGAGACCCTTAATCTGACCACTGTGACCCTTAACCCGACCCTCGTAATCCTTAATCTGACTCTTGTGATTTTTAATCTGACCACTGTGACCCTTGACCCGAGCCTCGTAACCCTTAATTGTGGAGTTTTAATTTCGAGTGCCAAAGTTTTTTCTCCAGAAGTTGATTTGGGTTCTTATAATACAAAGAGATTAGAAAGCATCTTTCATGATTAATTCATAGAAAATAATTTTTCACTCCACACATCTTTTTTCTCAATCCCAATGAATCCCATCATATTTATAACACCAGAAATCTATGTCACTGAGAAAAATAAAACAAAAATAATTTAACGATTGGGTTAAATAACTTTTCAACTCATCATTTGTATACAATTGTAAATAATAATGTTATTAAATATTTTATACATGTACAGTGTATATATAATAATAATGGTATCTCATTACTAATTTCGTATAATAAATTGTAAATTAATGAAGACAGAGATTCAATATACGTTGATGACTCCCCCGTCGCCAATCGTTATCTCATTAGTTTTTTTCCCATTGCAATTACGTTACCAATTATACCTGTTGTATACGAGATTCCCAAATGGGGGAAGGGTATTGGGGCCTCTGATCAGAAACAGAGGGTAGAGATAATCTCATGAAATTTAATGTCAAACATTGCTTAATCCTTCAAAAAATCCTCCTTTCTCCTTCACCCTCCCCTCAATTAAAAAAAAAGAAAAATTACAAGTGTAAAAAATGTTTCATCTCAAATTGTATGACTCCATGATTCAATTATTATCCTGTACAAAATTCATTTTTATACTTAATATAATTTTCTCAGCTGCATCACATCATTTCAAATGTCAATAAAACATCGAAAAAACTGTTTTTTTCAATTCATTCTGTCGTATTAAAAACCTACGTATTACGCAGTTAGTACAAAAGAAAATATATTAATATAAATTGTTCATCATTCATGATGTGATACTGTGTCATAAATTGGAACAAAAAAAATTACCGAAAAAAATATATCGAATTCTATGTACATGAAATCGCTGAGTAAAGGCATTATTAAAAAATTAAATTCTCATCGAAAAATTGTTTTCAGCGTAAAGCGAAATATTGAACAACGTTAAGCTTATGGAACAGCTGGCAATGGCCAATGTTTCTTCCTCGTTTGATTATCTGATTTATTATTTGTTTTCGATGCGAGCAGCCACGTTTCAACGCCCTAGTAAAATGCACCAAGATATATTTGATTAATTAAATATGTGACTGAAAAATAATTCAGTCATCAACCTACGCAGTCACCCATCACTTGTGTCTTGACAGTGTCTTTAGTTTCATCTGATTTAGTCTGGAGGCTCTCCTCGCAGGCATCCACAAACTCATCCTTGATGGAATCCTCAGGTCCACCCTCTGCTGACGAAGAGCATGGAGGTGATTCGGTGGATGTTTGGCTAGTATTTGTATCTGATTGAGGTGGCTCACGTTTTTGAGCATCAACGTCAAATGCATGAAGACGTTCTCTACTTCTACGCAACTCCTTTCGCAGTCGTTCTCGTTCGCCTTCTCTCTCTTTAACAATTTCCTGGAAATTAAGCCATTGGTTTAGACGGATTGTTTTCACTAAAATGTAAGGTCATGATTAGTGAGAATTTCAAACATTTGGCGTCAGCATCTGAGAAATTATTGATGGTCAATGTGTTCATTAAACTATTAATGAAAAATTGGGATGGATTTTTTTTTATAAATCAGTCAATTTTTTATTCATGTTGGAAATTTGAGAAAATTTAGCATTTTCGTATTTAAGGATATCCACTTTGGCTATTTTTTATACAGTGATGAAATGCTTTTCTACTTTTGCAGTCGAACATCAGAGCTTGCGTTTAAGCCCCGTTTGGCCCTAATTTTCCGGATATTTTACAATGATTTTATTATTTCAACTTTGCAGGTCTAAATTTGAATCTCGATATTGAACCATTAGAAAACATTTTAAAACCTGAAAAAAAATTAGAAAGTTTGCTGTTGGAGGAAGATTGGTGAAATAATAAAAAAATTGCAATTTTTGAAAATTACGAGCATTTTATATAAATAATTTAAAAATAATAAATTTGCCACCATAAAAATCATTTGTTCGAAATCGTAACAAATTTATTCATATTCACAAAGTTTAAATAATTTCAATTATTTATTTATAGACAACGAATGTTTAAAAAATAATAATTCTGTGGAAAATGTAATTTGAATGACTCTGAATATTCGTGATTTTTAAAAAATGTTTCTCGTGCAATTTAATTGACAAATTTGATGATTGAAAATGGTTGAATCTATAGTGTGGTCTGCACCAAATTTTAAAAAATACTTGGATATCCTTAACGAATGTGAGAGTTGAACATTATATTAAATGAGTAGATGAGTAATTGAGAATTTCACGGCTCAAAACGGTTCAAGTCGATTTTGGCTATTGGCCAGTTTTCAATGAATATCTCGAAGACTAAAGTAGATAGCAAAATTTTGGTCATGACCTTTTTTGTAGCCCTCAATTCACTCTACAAAAAAGATAATTACAAAAATTTCGTAATCTCCCTTAGATTCGGAGATATTCCTCGAAAACTCAGCTAAGAGCTAAATCGACTTGAATTGTTTCAATAGCGTGTCAATGCGTAATCGTATTTAAATCTTCTTATATTATTCTTAAACCGATAATTACATACTCCCTTAAGAATTCCCCAAACTCCCTCACAAAATATCCATTATCTCCACTCACCAATAGCTGAGACAATTGCAGATTAAGAGAATGACAAACAGGTTGCAGAGCAGCAACAGGAACACTCGGTTGAAGACCATCCCCCCCACTTCTGGGCACTGGACAGCCAGCAGCCCCACACCCCAGAGCAGCCCCACTCGAGCCCTTAGCCGCAAGCACAGCCTCCGACTCAGTGACCACCAGTGCCATATTAATGAGACTGATCAGCTGATTGGCCTGATTGATAGCCACCAGAATCACCTCAGCAGGCTCCTTCTCCAGTGCTGTGTGCTCAGACGCCATGTCCGCCATATCAGCCACATGCTCAAAATCCTCCTTAGGAATATTCAGAATATCAGCTACAAGCGACTGCTTCTCAACGAGTGCCTCCCTAATGACCTGATCCTTCCTCCTGAGTCTCTCGATGGGGGTCAGCACAGGCTCTGCCACATGAATGGGTCTCACCTCAGCATGCACCTCAGTGGGATCAATGAGCGAGCACTGAGTGCACGTAACAAGTCTCATAGTCTCCCCAATCCCAGCATTAGTCGATTCAGAAGAGTTATTTCCAGCATTATCCTGACCCCCCGAGGCATCTCCAGGTGTTGAGGCCCCAGCAGCTTTTCCAGAGTCCTCAGAACCCCCAGACTCCTTTCCTCCATCCCCCAAATTATTTACACTAGAACTAGAATCTCGATTATCACCCAATAAATATTGTTCACTCTCATTGCCCTTGTCACCACCCTTATCCTTATCCAAATGATTATCATTCTCGTTGTCCTGTTTGTCTGGATTACCCTCAGGTGTCTCCTCACTGCTGTTGTTCATCGAAGCCTGAGGTGATGACGGTCTCCTCCCCTCACGACTCCTGGCCTTATTGTAGGCATCAGCAGCCTCTGATATGTGCTTGCACCATAATTTACATTCAGCGGATGATGCTGCCACCAGGTCGTAGATCTGCGCCCCCTTCTGGGAGGTGTTCACCAGGTAGAGGGAGTTTTTATCAACAGCATTGTTGCGAACCAGAACAGTGGAGACCTTGACAATTGGACTGAGAACAGAGTTCACTTGATTTGTGTTCATAAACTTCAGGAGGTACTTCTCGTCCTGCCTGTGGAGGAGGAGGATTGTGTCGTCCAGGAGGACAACGTGCAGGTCAACTGGCTTTGGTCGGTTGACGATGCGCCACTGGAGGGGACCCTCGTGTATCAGTGTTCTCTTTGTTATGTCGAGATTTTTGAACTCCTGCACCGTTGGATGATCAAATTTGTCGAAGGCCGATCTGTCGATCATCCGGAGGATCTCTGTCAGGCGTTGGCAGTCTTCAGCTTCTCTCACAGCTTGATTAACTAGACTCAGGATCTCTTTGCTCCTCTCGAGTCCCCGTAGCACAGCTGCACGCTCTCTCTCACTGCTCTCTGGTGTGTATTTAGCTAGATTTTCAAAGAGCAATGGGTACTTTGTCAGTCGCAGCATTCCTGTGACAATGTGATCCTTGAGCTGAAGACGACGACACATGGGATTTGATTCAATTTCACTCAGGAATGAGTTCAACTTCTGATCCTTGCGTCGACGATCACGCAAATTGTCCAGGGCTACTTGTTGCTTTGCGCAATAGGTGGAGGCTGCTTGCTCAAAGGCCTCGCCATTCTCACCGTCGAACATGTCCAGGATCAGGTCACCAACGTCACCAACGCAAGGATTCTCCTTCTTCTTGCGTTTCATTGCTTGGTTGAAGCGGGAATGAATTGTCACCATTTCATCGAGATTTGAGAAGAGGAGGTCTATCTGGTCCACTGGGAGGACCTGGTGCTCTAGGAGGGGCTTGTGGAAGACGTAAGAGAGGACTTTCAAGGCACGTACGTGCGATCTCTCCGTGTGGAATAGCTCTGAAATTTCACGGAGAATTCAGGATTTTTTGGTAATTTTTGAGGGAGATTTATTGGGGTTTTAAGTGGATTTTCATTGAAAATGTTTATTCTCTACAAGAAATCAATAGAATTATATTCTTCAAGTTTTTTTGGGTGGTTTTTTTCAGTGAGAAGAGAAACAAAATGGAGGAAAACAAAACTGGAAAAATCATAGCGCGGAATTTCTGTAGAAAATGTCGAAATAGTCGCGAACTCGCTGGAAAATTTTATTGGATTTCTATTGAATTTTCTATTAGTTTTTGATCGATTTTATTGAAAAATTGCACAGCTTATATGCGCGTTTTTGTTCAATATAAATTTTCAGTGGGGAAAATTCTATAGGAAAAAAATTTATAGAATTTGATTTTTCTATTCTACTTATTCTTAGGAGACATTTTATATAGAAAATCTGTAGTTGGCCTGTTTCAGTTAAAAGAGAATAAAAAATGGGTTAAAAAAACATGAAAAATTCATGTTAATGAATTCCTATAGAAAATGTCTCAATTGAAAAATCTAGAGAATTGTATTGGATTTTCATTCAATTTTCTATTAGTTTTTAGCCGATTCTATTGAAAAATCTCGCAACTGATGTATGGATAATATTCTATAGAAAAAAATGTATAAAATTTGATTCTTCTATTCAACTTATTTTGGTGAGAGATTCTCTATAAAAATTCTTTGACTCAAGTGTTCTAAGTTTTCTTGCTCGATTGTGTCAATGAAAAGAAAAGAAAAATGAAGTTGAAAAAATTTGAAAATGTTCATACATTTCTATAAAACATGTCTTAATAGAAAAACCTAGACAATTCTGTTGGATTTCTATTGAATTTTCTGTTACTTTTTGGTGAATTTTATTGAAAAATTCCGCAGCTCATCTATGGATAATATTTTATCAAAAAAAAATCTATAGAATTTGATCGTTCTATTTAATTTATTCCTTTAAGAGGTTTTCTATAGAAATTCTTTGACTCGAGTGTTCCAAGTTTTTTTGTTCGATTGTTTTAGTGAACAGAGAAGAAAAACGGAGTTATAAAAACTTCAAATTCACCAAATTCATGTTGATGAATTCCTGTGGAAAATAACCTAAATAGAAAATTGAAAAAAAATCTGTAGAGTTTGATTCTTCTATTGAAGTTATTTTCACGAGAGATTTTCTATATAATTTACTTGACTCGAATTTGCTATCGGAGAATTCCGCAACTGATCTATGGATAATATTCTACAGAAAAAAAACTATAGAATTTAATTCTTCTGTTCAATTTATTCTGAGAAATTTTCAATAGAAATTTCTCGACCCAAATTTGAATGAAAAGAGAAGAAAAACGGAGTACATAAAACTTGAAAAATAAAAGTATAGAAATGGAAAGATTTAATTACACACCATTGATAACTTCTTGTCTCTTCTTCTCGGAATTACTGAGACGTGCGAGTACTTCCTCAGACACCCCCTGGCTCCAGTCAGGTGGATCTGGCTCAACATCCACGTCACTGTCCCACGATGATGTGTTATTGTTGCCTGGTGCTGTTGAGTGCACCTGCTCCAGACTCGTGCTCGGACTGTCCAGACTCCTCGTTGATAAACTGCTGTTCGAGGAGCTGCCCGCTGAATTTCCTGGAAATGCCCCTGATGCCTCGCAATCACTGAAACCAGTCCTACTGTCAATCGTTAAAATTTTAGTTGTGTCATGAACAGAGGATTGAATAATACAAAACAATTAATTTAGAAATTTTTTGTTTATGAATTCCGTAAAGAAACGATAAAACGAGACTTGAAGATCTTTTTTCAATTAATATTATCGAATCCGATGAAAATGAAATTGATTTTGTTGTTGCCTGTAATTTTTTTCATTGAAAAAAAAAATTAAATTCAAATATTCAATAGAAAATATTGAATGGTTTTTATTTCAATAAGGAAAAAAAAACAAAAAATCAAGAAGTTAGCGTAAAAAGAATTCAGATTTTTCATGTCGAGCAATGACAAAATTATACCAACGATAACATGAATAAATAATTGAATAATGGAAAACAATTAATTTAGAGTTTTTCGTTTATGAATTTAGTAGAGAAGAAAGAAAACTTGAGGATTTTTTTCATTAATATTTTCCAATCTAATGGAAGTCAAATTAATTTGATTGTTGCATATGTTTTTTTTTCATTGAAAAAATAATGAAATTCACAGATTCAATAGAAAATGGTGAATTGTTTGTTTGAATAAAAAAAACATAAAAAATCAAGAACTTAGCGTTGCAAAATTTATAATTTTTGATCGTCAGCAAATTAAAAAATTATATCAACGATAGCATGAATAAATGAGTGAATAATGGAAAAGAATTATTTTAGAAATTAAAAAAAAAAAAGAATTATTTTAGAATGTTTCGTTTATCAATTCAGTAGTGAAGTAATAAAAAAACCGAACTTAAGGATCCTTTTTTCATCAATATTTTCGAATCTAATGGAAATGAAGTTAATTTGGTTGTTGCATGTGATTTTTTAATGGAAAAAAATGAAATACAAACATTTATAGAAAATGTTTGAAAAATTCATTCAAGACCCGGCTCCATTATCTGCCGAACGTTATCTCAGTTGATTTTTTGTTCGATTTCTATCTCGAAATTTCAACTCGATGCCCCGTCACTCAGGGACACCCGAAAATTCTGAATTTTAGAAAAACCGGAGGAAAATGATTGCACGATCATGAAATTTCGTGAGTCATTAAGTAATAATAAAACGCAAAAACGGTATATTTTTTCACATCAATCCGATCAACAATTTACCAGAAAAATTCAAAAAACGTGAATTTTGGTGAAAAAGGTGTAATACTATGAGTTTTAAAAGTCGTGGGTTATTGGAGTGAGACGTTTCATACGTTGAAGATCGACTATGTACATCTGAAAACGAATAATTAGTGCAAAAAAAAATTTTTTTGTTGTTCGTTTGCCCGAAAATGCTTAAAATGTAAAAAACAGTCCAGGGCCTCCAATTTTTGAGCTGGGAAGGATTTATTTTTATTTTTGGAAAAATATGTGGAATAACAATTACGAGCTATTTTTTTTTAATTCGCCTCTTACATGGCTAAATTTGCTTTTTTGTTTTTTTTTTGCAAAAATAGTGAATTTTTTTACATGAAAAAAACCGAAATCGGCTGTGTAGGAGTCGAATTTCAAAAAACTGGCTCGTAATCGTTGTTCCACACATTTTTCCGAAAATTTTGAAGAAAAAAAATCTTTTGTAGCTCAAAAATTGGAGGCCCTGGACTGTTTTTTTAGTATTTTAANGTTTTTTTTTGCACAAATAGTGAATTTTTTTACATGAAAAAAACCGAAATCGGCTGTGTAGGAGTCGAATTTCAAAAAACTGGCTCGTAATCGTTGTTCCACACATTTTTCCGAAAATTTTGAAGAAAAAAAATCTTTTGTAGCTCAAAAATTGGAGGCCCTGGACTGTTTTTTTAGTATTTTAAACGTTTTCGGGCAAACGAAGAATTAAAAAAAATTTTTTTTGCACTAATTATTCGTTTTCAGATTTATATAATAGGTCTTCAACGTATGAAAAGTCTCACTCCAATAACCCACGACTTTTAAAACTCATAGTAGTCTCCCCTTAAATTACACTGCAGTAAAGGCTCAGAAAAATTTGAAAAAATTTGACATCTCATTTTGAGGTGACTTGAAGCCCTATCACTGAAAATATCCGCCAAAAATATCATAAGTAGTTGGATTTTCACATTTTTATCCTGAAACGCCGGGTCGTGATCCGTGTATAAAGTGAATTTTCAGAAAAACATGGCAACTTTGTGCTTGAATATATAATTAAGGGTAACACTGAACATGAAAAATGTGGACTTCTTCAAGTATACGATCAACACGGGACTTCTTCAAGTATGCGATCTAGATGACTCTTGATTTTTTTTAGATTTTTCCTAGATCTTTCAAATTTATCATTATTTCGATTTATGCTGGTGCGGCGCGGCGCTTACAACGCGACCAACGGCATTCGTAACTTTTGCGCCGTCAACGTTGTGTTAATTAAGAACGCTCTTTCAAAATGTTCAGAATTTTTTTTTACTTTTTTTAAAATTCAAATTCATAATTTTCGGGGGTTTGAATGACGGAGCATCAAGTTGAAATTTCGAGATAAAAACCAAACAAAAAAAGCAATCTAGATAACGCTCGGCAGATAATGGAGCCAGATTATTATATTTATAAAAATATTTAATTGAAAAACATAAAACATTTTATTTAAAAAAAAAATCAAGAAGTTAGCGTCAAAATGCTTCGAAATCTCTATGTGATTCTCTACAATTTTCAATCTTATGTACCTTTCTGATTGCGTACGCCTCTTAATCGCCAATTTCAACTGTGTTTTCCCACTGTTATCATCCTCATTACTCAACGATTTATCGGTAATATCACTGCGTGTGCGTTCCAAAGGCGCCGAAACATTTTTATACCCAATAATGTCAGGGATATTGCTGATTTTCTCGGCATCGGGCTTAGCCCGCGTGCGCCTAGACGCGCGCTGTCGCATTTTTTCCCAACTTTATTCCGAAAGCACGCTTTGAATTTATCACCCCTTAATGACAAATCCACTGAAACCTTTTTTTCGTCGAACGTTGTTATCACTGACATTCACTCTAAGGTTCCATTGACATTATCCGGCTTTCATCAGTTCCACCCTTCGGATGATTTAAAAACTCATGACCTCATTCAAAACATAAGGTCACAGTCTCAAATGAAAAAAAAAATATTCTCCCTATTTTTTTTTTCACGGGGGAAAGACACACGTTTCACGAATAATTTATTAGAATTGCAGATGTAAAACTGTAACAGTAGCATCGAAGAAATAAAGTATTCTATTCAAATTATTAGAATTGAATTCGTGGGGTTTAGATAATTTTAAGGCTGATAGACATTACTTGTGCAGTTTCGACTTTCATCAATTCCACCTTTCGGATGATTTAAATACTCATGACCCCATTCAAAACACAAGGTCACAGTTTCAACTAAAAAAATATGATATCAATTCAAATTAAAGGGGAAAGACGGACATTTCACCAATAATTTATGAAAATTGAATTGGTGGGGTTCAGGTAATTGTAAGACTGATAATCATTGCTTGTGCAGTTGTATTGAGGCTCGGCACTCCTCCAGAATCACTTTAATCGAGTCTGTCAGAGGTACAAACCCCCCCAGAATCCCTGGCACCCTCAGCACTTGCACGTGGGCGGCCATATGTTCCACTAGCACTGTTGTATTACATGTTCAAGTTATTACACATGTTTTCTTTTCAGGAGGACAAGCACTCGCTCCCGATGCATGTGTCGCACTACGTCTAGATATGAAATTGAGGCGGTGGTGGAGACTCGGGGGATGCGAGGTTGAAACTATAAAAGTATTGATTTGAAGAGTATCGATCGCTTCGGAAATAAAACATCGGGGAGACAAACTTAAGGGGAATTATAATGTCTTTCGGGAAATGAGAAGGCAGGGGAGAGATGTGGCGGTTATGGAAAGAAACTGGCTGATATCTGGGTCAATACTATTTTTTTTTAGAGGGAATTCGAGACATTTATGATTATGATAACTTCTCTCTAGATTGGGATTTCATGGCGTTTCAAACTTGTACTTTTTCAATGATTGTAAGCTATTGTATTAAGATTAAATAATCTCGGAATGTTGGGGAATTAGATTGAAAGTATGAAATTGTATTCGTTGGGGAATTGAAAAAATTTCTTAATCAAGTCTCGTGGTAATTTTGAATATATTTTGAAATGCATTTGAAGGATCGAATGAACGTAACTTCTCTCTAGATAGGAATGTCATCAAATTTCAAAGAATGTGATATTTTTTCACGATTTCAAGCTATTGCAATGAAATTTTAACATTTCGAAATACCAGAAAATTAAAAAAATTTCTTATTCAATTTTCATCTTAATTTGGGATATTTGCGGATAAATATAAATGGCGAGACATCGATTTTAAATGTATGGTTATATGAACACTGAATATATCAAAAAACAGGGAAGCAACAAATATGTAGAAGTATAATTATTACAATTACATAATTTTGAAAAAATACTGAAACACCGGTTGAAACGTTTTCTCATCACATATCCTTTCATTAATTTTCTAGCCATTTCAGTTTTCACTCAAAATTTAATGAAATTGCCAATTTTTCCAATTGATCGAAAATTCAAGAATATATTTGCCTGAATTTTCCAAATGTCTATCAATTTTCATAGAATGATTGAACTGCAATTTACAATGACGAAATTTCTTGATAATTCAGTGGAACAATGTGATAAAAATTTCCAATTGTTTTCCAAAGTTCCAATTTCCAGAAATTTCAGTAAAAAATTCTCAACAATGCAATTCCAGATAGAGAAAAAATTCCGTGCAATTAGACCAGACGAATGGAAAAAATTGGAAAGGTGGGTCCCTCGGTATTTAATTAGTATTTAATACACCATCCCCCTCATAAAAGTATGTTGTCTCATGGTCATTATACAGGAACTCGGCTGCGGGGAGTGGCATGTCAAAGATAGAATTTATAGCCGGTCAATGAAAGTGACGTTGTCCGATAAGATAGATTCGTGAAAATTGCAGTTTGAAATTACACCTTGAGTACAAATGAACGAATACTAATTTATAGAAATCAATGAACAAATAAAGAATAATTTTTTTTTCATAGAATCCTGTCGACTTTTGAGTTTTTGGGCTTTCTTTGCTTCCGAATGAGAGCTTTGTAATCGTTCACATTTAAGTTTTAGATTTTTTGTTTTATATCAATCCATTGTGATTCAAAATGTTCGAAAGTGTAATTTTTAAATCCCATGTGACCAAGTTTTTCGATGGAATTCAATTTTTTTTCAAATGTAGGCTCTGTTGAGCCTTATCCATCAATTAATTGCAATTTAAGGATGTATTACACCCTCTTCGCCAAAATTCCCCTTTTTTTAATTTTTCTAGTAAATTGTTGATCGGACTGACGTGAAAAAATATAACGTTTTTGCGTTTTATCATTACTTAATGACTCACGAAATTTTATAATCGTGCATTATTTTCCTGCATTATTTCTAAAACTTTTTCAAAATTCACAAAACTTGCGAAAAAAATGCAGGAAAATAATTGCACTACCATGAAATTTCGTCAGTCAGTCAATAATGATAAAACGCAAAAACGGTATATTATTTCGCGCTAATCCGATCAATAATTTGCCAGAAAAATGAAAAAAAACGTGAATTTTGGCCGAAAGGATTTAGTACATCCTTAATTCATACATTAATTTTTAGAAATTTCAAGTATTTTCAAAAATTGGTTGTCCTACGATAACTAAAAAAAAAGGTTTGAACTCATTGAACAACGCTTTAAAAAAATTGTTTCGTTGTCCCTTCGAAATTAAAAAAAAAATGTATTTTTTAAAAATAATAATTTCGGAGATATCTTTGGATATCATGCTTTAAATTAATTCAATTATAGCTTAAAAGATTTTTATGATGATTTTTGCAAATGTCCATTTTTTAAAAAATTCACTAAAAGTGAATTTACCGACGGTTTCTTTAAATATGATGTTTCAAATTCATTTAATTATTATCCAAAAAATTTTCTAATATCATTTTGTCGAAGTTTCAAGATAATATAAGGTATTCCATCTCAAATGAGTCAACGGTTGACGCTCACTCTCTTAGAAATTGATCTTGATTTTTTATACGATTGGAGGACTAGAAAAACTATTTCTCAATTTTTTTCAGATTTTTTCAAGAGCTCATTTTGCAGATATGATTTTTTCTTTGTTTTTTAAAATTTTGTTTTCAATAACTCTAGTTCTAGTCATCCGATTTTGATTCATGACATGTCAAAATTTTCGATATTTTACCATTTATAAGAATATTTTGAGTAGTTTTTTTTTCAACGCTTAGGTGCTCATATGTAATAGCGAATTTGCAAAAAAAAAGTTGAAAAACTTGAACTTTCAAAATCATGTCACGTTTTATTTTTCTCGTCTTTTTCTCAGTAACTCTTGTAATCAAAACATGGATTTTGAGCTGTCATACAAGTTAGGTTTCGTCTTAGATCTATTTTATTTTCATTTTCCTCTTCTCAAAATTCCACGAATTTGTTCAAAATACCCCAAAATGGTGTTGATTGACTTTGATTATAAAAACTATGAAGTGAATTCAAGTGTATACTTATATGTTGCATAATTTTGTGATACATAATCCAAGTCGTTTTGGAGTGTTTTGACGAAATTCGCGGAATTTCGAGAAGAAAACATTAAAAATAAAATAGATCCAGGACGAAACCCAACAGGCACGACGGTTCAAAATACTTGTTTCGATTATAAGAGTTACTGAAAAAAAGATGAGAGAAATTAAAGGTTACATAATTTTGAAAATTCAAGGTTTTCCCATGTTTTTTGAAAATTCGTTATTATAAGCACCTAGGGGTAAAAAAAATCACCCGAAATCTTCTTATAAATTGTAGAAAATGAGCCGTTAGAAATAAAAATCAGCTGAATAGAACCCGAGTTATTGAAAAAAAATATCATCATTATTTCATTTGATTTATCCAAGAATTTTCCAAGAAATCTAACATAATTGATTAAACAAAAAATATAATTGAATTCAACAAAATAATATGAAACAATAAATGACATGATAGAAGAAAATCATGTGCAAAATGGCTATTCGAAAGCATATCGCTAATTTATTAGAAAAAGCTATAGGGCCAGGTGGGGCAAAACGGACACTTTCGACTTTTACGAAAATATTTATAAATCAGAAATAAATTTATCAGTTGCGCCCAGTCTGGACTAATTACAAAGAGGAAGAATCATACTTTACAAGGAAAAGAAATATCCTGTTTCGTCAACCGTTTATTAGAAGAAATTGCTGTCCTATATCAAAACAAATTGCAATTTCCCACTTGTTTGTAATGATTTGACCCTGTAACTGGCTTTATGCTCTTGGGTGTCGATACACAATAAATACATAAATGTCCATTGCAGAGCGGTGGATTTAAAAAAATAACAAAATGCACGTCCGCCTGCACTCACTCCCCACTTTCCCCACCCCGTAATATGTGTAATGAGTTTTTGCAACGAATAGTATTTATTTTGGTCATACGAGGCCACGCAGCAGAGACCTAGACTGACGTCGGACTGATAGAGTAGAACAGAACAATATTATTAGAATATTCCGAAGATGAGAAACCAACAGAACAGGAATTTTCGACTGACAAACCCCGGTTACAATTTTATTTTTTTATTTTTTCCCCTCAGGCCGCAAAGGCTTTATTCGCTTCATCCACTCATTCATTTCTCATTCTCCGAACGATAAAAATCGCCTACGTGCGCGAAACATAGAGCTCAACGTCACACTGAGTGCTAGCTTCCCAGCGAAAATCCCTCACAGAGACAGAATCCAGGAATACAGCATTTAGAAACCTGTGTGCGCACGTGCATACACACAAGTTAATGCCACTTGCCAAAAGAATATTTGTTTACTAAAATGAATTCTTTCGGGAAATGGTATAACATCGATTTATAATTGAAGAAATTTTTGTGAAGATTTTTTTTTATGGAGTTTCTTCTCGAAATTTTTCAGTCCCCTTTTGAGTAATAAAACTCACATTTTTTATAGTTGAATTTTTTTTTCATGTTTTTTTTTTTTCAATTATCGAATAAATATGTTCCTATTTCGATATTTTTCGCCTTCTTGATTTTTCATATTTTCTTATTCAACTTTTAAATATTTACTTTGTTTATTCAATTTTTAAAAATTTGATGAAATAATCAAAATAGTTTATTCTATTATTTCACTACTGATAATCAAAATGGAATTGTTCAGACTTCAGTTTTTACTATATCTTGAATTAACGAAATTTTTGTAAAGACCTTTTCATAAAGTTTCTTCCAAAAATTTTCCATTTCGCTTTGATTAAAAAAACTCACATTATTTAGAGGTTATTTGATTTTTGCATTTTTTCGCAATTATTATCGAACCCACATTTTCGTTATTTCGATATTACCTCTTGATTTTTTATGTCATTATTCAACTAAAAAAAGATTTGATGAAATCATGCTAATGAGTCATTGTATTATTTCACTACTGATAATGAAAATAAAATTATTTAGGCCCGGAGGGGCTAGCGTACTGCCTTGGTGGGCAGGCTTATCTAGCTTTAAGAAGGTAAGCAGCGCTGAGCGTGGTTACTAAGTGGAGTGGTGGTCACGAGGGAACGCCTCGGAAATAAACGATGGTTGAAAGTAAAAATGGGAAGGAACAGTATCCGTAAAAATCGAAAAATATACGGTAATACGAGAATTGTTATTATAAAATAGAACTCCTAGTGCTTTGAGTTAATTTGATTTTTTTGCATGATTTTTTTCTCAATTATTATCGAACACATATTTTTTAATTTTGATATTGCTCCTTAATTTTTTATATCCCATTATTGCACCCAGACAAAATTGATGAAATAATCGAAATAGCTCGTTTTATCATTTCACTACAGATAAGAAAAAGGAACGGTTCAGACGTTAATTTTTTCATTATCTTGAAATTGAAGAAACTGAAGAAAGATCTTTAGAAAGTGTTTTCCCAAAATTTTCCATTTCCCATTGATTAAAAAATCTCACATTATTTAGAGTTAATTCAATTTTTTTGCATGATTTTTTCTCAATTATTATCGCACACATATCGATGGCCAAGGGGTAAAACGTTTCAAGTAGATCTGGACTATTGACCAGTCTTCAATGAATATCTGGCGATCTAACGGAGATAGCAAAGTTTTTCGTTATCACCCTGAGATTCGGAGACATTCCTCCAAAACTCAGCTGAGGCCTAAATTGACTTAAACCGTTTTACCGCTTCACTCTCATATTTTTTTTATTTCGATCTTATTTCTTGATTTTTCATATTCAACTATTTAACCCGAGAAAATTGATAAAATAATCTGAACGGCTCGTTTTCTTATTTCACCACGGATAATAAAAATGAACCGGTTCATAAACTTACTTGGTTTTCGACAGATTAGGATCACTCGTCTTTCGCTTCTCCCTCAGTTGCCGCTGAAATAAACCCAAATATTATCCTCCAACATTAAAACGTAATTTACGATAACGTCTAGTTTTCAATTTACCTTGTTGTGAATACGTTCTTTATAACTCTCCGATCTGTTTATGTTCGATGTCTTTGGCTTGCTGGAGATATTCTGCTGCACCCTGTAGTCAAAAATTCATTCATTACATGAAAAAGACAATACGATCGGCTTTTACCAGAATAATAAATCCCTTACATTTCTGAAATATCTTCTCTCGGGAAAGGATCATCCATGTTATCAGGATGATCGTTGAATCCAAAGAGTCGTCCTCTCTCCGCACTGCTGCGTGTATTGCCACTCGCTACACCCCGATGTTCCCCTTGAAAACGACAATAAATAGGAGACTATTAACGAAATGTTTTTGTAATTTTTCCAGTGCCTGAACGAAACATCGCGACTGTGACAAATTAACGAACATCGTTACATTAATTTCTCTAAATTTTTCCTTGATTCCTCAAAAAACAAAATTAATATTAACGGAGTTTGAAAAAATATTGACAAACCAAGTCTATGAAACCACTATGATATGTACGTAAATTGACATATTGGCAAGTATCCAAATATTCCATAGCAAGTTCTATCATTGAAGTAAAGGTGGTCTGTGGAAGCCAAGGCATCTCACAGAACACTGCTCCAAGTATAGATCCAACAGTTGCCCCTTCCCCCAAATAACATTTTTGACGTACATCGTTTAACATCCCGGGATGTGACTCGAGGGGGCAGGGGGAGGGGGAGAGTTTAAAAAAATATCTCCAATTCCCGGCAGAGTCCCCATTACGGTAGGAAACCAAAAATACTCTTGAAAATGTATTTCCGATGTTGTTCCAGAACGCCATTCACATTGGCCCCGTTGCGCTTGAAATGTATGCTTGTCTGGGTTGTGGAGCCTTTTTTTTTCATTTTCGAGGGGTAATGGGTGTCTGGGGCGAGCGCTAATACTGGCTTTTTGTCACTCATCCCGTAGGCATAATTGAGTTTTGTTGGAGAGGAAGGAATTTAATAGGGAAAAATTGAAATTCTATTTTTTTTTATTAATTTTAAATTCATTATTTCTCATGTTTGGTTTCAGGGGATTTAATATGCAACAGAGGAAAATAGAATTTCAATGATAAAACGTAATTTGGAGTTGATTAGTAGGGGATAAAAAAATTGTTGTAGTTGATAAAAAAATTTTATCAACTTTTTCTTTTATTAACTTTTGTTCATGAATTTTTTTTTTGTTGGAAATACTGATGAGAATAATAATTTTCTATTCGGCAGAAGAGAACATGCGGTGTGAAAAAAATCACTGATATTCGAAACCCCTATATAGCACAGCGACTACCTCTACAGATGAATCCCACTCCCCTGTTAGATCTCGATCTCAACGTCAACTAGCCGGCTTGTCCCCTGACTCTCCAGCTGCCAAACTAAAACCTCGTCATCGCTGAGTCTATGTTCTCTCCTCATTCGAAACTCCCGAAGGTTTTTCATATTTCTTATATTGAGACGACAATATTAATAATTTTTACTAATTTTATCCACAGCTCCCTTTTCAAGTAATACGAAATATTTCATCTATAAGTCAACTGATTAGATTAGGGCTATTATATTTTTCTGTTTTCATTCGATTAAAATTCAAAATCATATTTTCCTTTTTCCCCCTCTGGGTCTCCCCCTGGGCCTTTCTCTGGCCATTGGATTTTGCTGTTTCATTTTCTTTTCAATTAATCCATTGACAAAATCTTCTCCCGTCAAAACTTCTCAATAATTTTCCATTCTACTGAATAGAAAATTACGATTCTCATCAGTACTCCCAATAATAAAAAAGAATTAATAAACATAAGTTGATAAAAAAAATTTTTTTTTGTTTAATATATGTCTAACGGCTGTTATTCGACTGTTTCATTTTGCCTCACTCTCCTCTAACTAACTATCTTTAGGGGATTATTAATTGTTCGATTTGATTCATTTTTAATAATAATGGATGTTTGGGATTTGTTGGAGACGATGGTATTTAATGGGGGAAAATTGCAATTTTAATTTTTTGTATTCATTTTAAATTGATTAATTAATTGGTTTAGTTATTTTGTGAATGGAAGCAAGTTTAGAATGACAACTGAAGTTATTTTCCTGGATACGGTTTTCCCTGTCCACTCATGAAATGTGTTTTAATGATTAAGATAATAAAATTGATTAAATTGAATAATTATTTTTGTCTTCAACCTGAATATTAGTTTTAAGTTCCACAAATTAGAGATTTCTCATGTTTACTTTTAGGCGATTTTCTATTTAAGGGAAAAAAATGGATTTTTAATGACGAAATGTAATTTGGAAATGATCAATAACTAATTAATTAATTGATCCATTTTATTAATTCTTAATAATAATAGGTGTCTGGGAAATGCGCTAATACTGGCTTTTTGTCACTCATCCTGTACGTATAATTGAGCTTTGTAAGAGACGAATGAATTTAATGAGAAAAAATTGGATTTAAAAAAAATTAAGTTAGAATTAATCAAGTAATTCGTTGAATTATTTTGTGAATGGAAGCAGCTTTAGGGTGACAGCTGAATGGATTTTTCTAGATAATAAGATTTTCTCTATTGGCTGATGAAACGTGTTTTAATAATCAAGATAATAAATTCGATCAAATTGATTAATTATTCTGGTTTTAAAGCTGAACTTCATTTCAACTTTAAAAAATTAGACACGTCTCATGTTTCCTTTGGAGGATTTCGCATTCACTCAGGAAAATCAGAATTTTAATGATAAAATATAATTTTGAATCGATCGATAATTAATTAATGAATCTTCAATAATTGAATTTCAAATAGGCAGCTTGCATGTATTTTTTTCCATTTCCTAATCTCAAGTTTGGAATCTGAATAATTCATTTTTCATTCCCAAAAGTTCGAAATATTGCTCAATAATTAATAATTGATTGTTAAAAGTTGAAGATTTCAAACGCTTTGAAAATACTAACGACGTCACACAGGCGGTCGAGTGTTGGACCAATCACAGAATGGCTCGGACCAACTTAACCCAATCTTCAAGTGCGCCTCGGCCAATATAGGATGACAACTCCCCACTCTCAATGATTCAATGAAATCAATGACAATTGATTTTCAATTAATTATCATAAGACACGTAGGCAATATTTCTCCTTAATTTTCGTCGTTTAGCTTTCTATATGTTATGAGGAATGTGTGAATAGGGAAATTAGAAAGAATTGAGCTTCATGCAAGTTCCCTATTGAAGAGATCTCAGTTTCCCTTTAGAAATCGATATCTGTTCCAGGAAATGAATAAATCCCATCATCAATCTAATTCTCTTCTTGCAAAAAAATAAAACTCACCATTTTCACCATCTATCAGTGCGCCTTCCTCCTCCGCTCTCTTAGCGCGTTCAACTGAAGCAAAAAAATCGCAGCAAAAGCTTCGATTAAAATTCCACCAACATATTTTCCAAACATATAATTTGTTCACCTTTCATGCCATTTCCCGAAAACATAGTTTCTAATTCTGTTCCCTATGAATAATCCCAAAATGACTTACCCAAATGTAGCTGATTCTGATGATAATGATGGGACGACGGAGGTTTCCGTTCAGGTCTGTAAATTCTCTCCATGAGTTTACTGAGAGCATCATTAGCCCTCTCCTTCCTAACCACTGGTCCCGGACAATTCTCCTCCACCACCCTAACACAGGGACGATGAACACTCAACGAACAATCAGTGCACTGATAGCCCTGCGGGCCAATGCCCCCAATAATTAACTGGCAATGATTGCAATACGTAACTGTAAAATACTGATGTGCAGCAAAATGATGTCCTCTAACCGTCATCTTTCGATTTTTAGCTGTAAGTAATCTCGCCTTGATATTCGACTTGTCCTTAGCCACAAATGTTGGTACACGATCAAGTGAAACACATCTAACTTGAAATATTTTCGTCAATATTGTTGCAAGTCCAGCTGCAGTGGTGAATTGACGTAGATCCCCTTGGTCCTTCTCGATATCCTCGAGATATCCCTCCATTTTGGGTAGAAGAAAAGTCTCGATGATTTTAGCCTCTTTGGATTTATCAGACTCACTCTCATCCAGCTGTATGTCACTTGGTCCAAATAGCATGCCCAATCCAGCTGTACGTTTCTGTTGAAAATCAGCCAACTGTTCGTTCAACTCCTCCTTGGCCTTGGCCCTGGCCTTCCAGAATATTTTACGAAGTATTTCCTCTTTGTCCGACTCTTTCAGTAGGACATCGTCAATTTCACGAGCAATGTTCTCGTCTACATTGTTGAGACGAAGGGGGGCACCTGGCACCAGGAAACTCGAGTGAATTTCGTAAGCCCATTTCTTCATTTCTTTAGCGTTTCCCTCTTTGTAGAGATCTGTCACTAGGTAGAACAGCAGACCTGAGGGATCGCTGTTCGATAGTACGTAGTTTATGAAGACCGAGAGGTGAGCGTGGTGCTCCCACAGGCGGGACAGGGACTTGAAGGGGCCGTGATCCTCCAGCTGGCCCACCTCCTGGTCACTCATGTCGTCGTCCTCCATCGACATTATGGGTTGTTGGATTGTGGGAAGTCCTGGGGTCTCTGTGCTGGCTTGACGAGGAGGCGAGGCTGTTGGGAAACTCTCGTTTATGATGCTGTCGTTCAGGGTCGACGATAGGAGGTCGGCATTCTGAGGGGGCTGGGGGTAGGGCGGGGGTGGGGTGCCTGGGGGCGTTATGTGGATTGGATCGTCCAGGTCGATACCACTGTGACGAGTGTGACGGTAGGGGGAGAGGTCACTCATCGATTCGGAGGCTATCAATCTTCTGCTTGCTTCTGAGGAGGATATCGAGGTGCCCAGCTGCTCTGGCGACGACTTTGTTCGCTGGTGCTTGCTCAGGGCTGTTGGGGAGCTCAGGTGGGCCTCCTGGGAGAACTAGAGAGAATTTGGGGTTGGTCAGGGCTTTGTGAATGGCTTTTTTAGGGGAACGTTGGGAAGGGGGAATTTATGCTAGTTTTTTATTTTTATGGAGGAAAGGGGTCATCACTCAGTGGAAATTGGGAGATTTGTATTTTTTTTTCATTTTTTATGTTTTTTATATTTTTAACAGGGTTTTCTCTCAGTGCATTATTAAGAAATAATTGAAAATTCATTAAAATTCTGAGAAAAATTGTATGATATTACAGGCACCTTTGAGCAGTGGGAAATATAATTTACTTGAATTGTCATTATTTCAAATAATTTTTATGGAATTATTGAACAGAAATTTATAGTTTCCACGCATTTTTCCATAAAATTTGGAATTTTCAATAATTAAATTCCTTGAAATTCCAGGAGAACTATCATACAATGAAAATTGGGTTCGATTTCTAAATTACAAATTTTAGAAGACTATAATTTTCTTTCAAAACAGATTTTTCAAATTGCTAGGAATTCAGAGAAATTTCAAAAACTTTTTGAGAAATTTTATACGATTCTGGGAATATATCAGACACTTCTAAGAACTTCTCAACTAGAATAAGAAGTAGAGATAAGAGATCGGTATTAATCAGCATTTCCAATTTATTTGACATGATTACTGATTGTTCAAATACTTTTCAATTTTTTTACGATTACTGATTACTGAAGCAGTGAAAGTTACTCCAAGAATCGCTTATTTGATTTTTAAATGCAAAATTCAATCACAATTGAATATTATAAATTTTGGTACCCCAGGAACTGAATTTCTAGTTTACAAATTTGCAAATATAATTTTTTAGAAGGAAAAGATTCAGTGGAAACTGTTGAAAATTCAAAGAGACTACATGGAAATTTGAAAAGCTTTCTGGAAAATTTTCTAAGAATTCAAGCAATCCTATTGAAATCTCAAGATTTCGGAAAGATACTGAACAATTTAAACAATTTTTCAATTATTTCATACATAATTACCACAAATAATGAGCGAATTTATAAAACAGATATGAAGATATGTAATTATTACGACGATATAATCTATAACAATAAACCTGAGTGATTACCCCTAATTTAAAATGATTCCCTTCCATCCGTTCTCACCATCTCTCCCCATAAATAAAAAGGATAATGGGAATGATAATGCGAAAATATGTACAAATAACAAAAGCAAAACTCAAGATACAAACATCAAAGGATAAACCAATAGAATGCTTTCGTCCCCCACAAGTTAATTCAGCTAAGGTAATTGGGATCATAGTGTGTCTCCTCGGTATTCTGGTGTTAAATTTTCACCTGATCACTACTTACAGAGTTAGGGATGCCGTGACTGATGGTTGGGGCCGTTAAATGAGTCAGCAGATGTCGCTCCGTCTCTAACTGTCCGGACTGTATAATATTATGTGTATTTGAGGTGGGTGGAGGTCGTGGAGGTAATGGAGGTGGGGAAAGACTCTGGACAGGCAGGGATTTACGTGATGGCAATGGTGGTGGTACATCACTGGTTTGTCCAGTGACACCACCACCACCCATTGTGCCTGGATAGTGCCCAGGGGGAGACGAAGCATTTGTTACCAACGAGCAAGGCTGTAAGACAACAAAAAGCAGGTTAACAAAAAAAAATTTGAACGAAAATTAATGAAAAATCATACGAAATAAATACTAAATCGACGAATAAATGGGGTCAACTGTCATTGAATTCAGTAGTCAAAGAGGATGAGACTGTTTCACTTCAGATATTCGAGTGAAATTTATTTTTTTCAGGCTTTTACTGAATTTAATAAAGGAATTTTTAATTGGGATGGATCGAAGCTTTCGGATCAAGTTAAAGTGTACAAATTTATGGGATGACCAATCACTTTTCTACGTTTGAGAATAATGTACAGGATTAATATCTAGATTAAACACTAGGAAGCTGTTTACTCGGCCCAAATATCACTGAATACTTCAGGGATTGGAGAGTTGTGAATCACCTGATCGCTGGGTGTCATTGCTGCCAATTCCTCCTGCAGCTTTCGAACTCTTCGTTCAGCCCCAGCCAACTCTGATTGCAGGTTAACAATGCTCGAGGTATTTCCAGAACTCACTCCAGCCTTTGCCAAGTCACTTCGAAGCTTGTCGACGTAGCTCTGCTCTTTCTCCAGCATCAGTTGGAAGGTGTTAACCCTTTGAGCATCCATTTGCCTCTTTTTCTCATGCTAGAGTGATATAAAATGAATTGGGATTTTTTATTGCTATTGGAAATTGATTGGGAATTGATTATTTCAAATGACTTTGTGAAAATTTTACAAACTTTCTAGAAGTTTTGTAAGATTTCGAGCAATTTTATTGTAATATCGAGATTTTGTAAATCTATCAGAGAATTTAAATAATTTTATAACGAGAGTATGAGGAGAAGATGCTGCAAGTGATCTTTGCCAAATATTTTCGAGTTAATCCATGTATAATTCACAATGAATAATTAATGAGTTTTAAAAAACAGACATGCATAAAACATTTGCTTCAGAGAGATGTAGAATAGAGTGATATAAAATGAATTATTTGAATGCGGAATTAATTGGAAATTCAAGTAAGGGAATTCTCGTACTCCTCTAAAAAATCGAGAATTTCATTGAATCCTTCTGGGAATTTCAGTGAAATTAAAAATTTCATAATTATATTTCTCCCAAATCGAATAAATTGAATTGCCTATGAAATTTCAGTATGTTTCTAACCATGCACTGCGAGAAAATTTTGGTAAATCCTCCAATTTTGTATTGAGTGATTTTCTCCATCAAAATTAAAATCGTGGAAAATTAAATGGAAAAATTTACGGAAACTATAAATGCCAGTTGAATTATTTCATGAGATTGAGGGGAGCGTGGGGTAAAATCGACACTTTAAACTTTTTTAAAGATATTCATAACTCAGAAACAGATTTATCAATTCAGCTCAGTCTAAGCTCATCACAAAGAGGAATCATTGTTTTCCAATTGAAAAATAAAACTATTCCATTTCATGAACAATTCAACACGTCATGAATATTTCAAAAAAAGTTAAGTGTCCATTTTACGCTACCCTCCCATAATAGAAATAATAAAAATTCAGATCAATATATTTTGGAATATTGAATTAATCGAAAATATAAGTGATTTGGGAAATTCTCATGCTGCTGCTGCTAAAAAATTTGGAATTTCATAGAATTTTCTTCTGAATTTTAAGGAAATTCTGAATTTTATGATTATTTTTCTCCCGAATTGAATTAAATAAACTGTTCACGAAATTTCAATTTTCTCTAACAATATATAAGTTGACAATGCAAAAGTTAAAATCCTCCCAATTTTTATTCAGTGAACCCTCCCTCAACCATCAAAATTTAAACCTGCAGCATCCATTTCCACTTCCACATAACTTCTTCATTATTTTTTGTAATATTACAAAAAGTAATGATGAATGTCCATGCCTTTTTAAAATATAGTAATAATCCTAGTCATTCAGACCTATAAATATTTTCAAAAAGTTGATTTTGACTACTGGCCAGTTTTCAATAAATATCTCGAAATCTAAGGGAGATGGCAAAATTTATGACATGGCCTTTTTTGTAGTACTCAATCCGCTCTACAAAAAAGGTCATTATGAAAAGTCCGTTATCTCCCTTAAATTCGGAGATATTCCTCGAAAACTGAGCTAAGTCAACTACGGGTTAAGTTGATTTGAACCGTTTTACCGCTTCGCTACTGAATTCGATTTTTTCCACATCAACACTTACATCAACAGGCTGAGGTCCAGTGATACGAGTGGAACAAGGTGCACCACCAGCGGGAGCAGTGGCTGCACGATGTAACGAAGTGGCTGATTGCGATGGTGACACCATTGATCCAGAGGGTGTCAAGCTGGTTGGCCTCTGCTGTCCTTCGTGTATCCCAGTGGACCTCACTGGATGATTCGCCAATGTCGCAAGAACTGGGTCTGGCTGCACCGTCAAAACCACCTGCGTCGATGCTGCGCAAAAAATTTCCAAATAACAATCAGAACTTACATAACCAATAGGTATTGTCACTATCAACGGATTATCATCAGTTACATCTTCTCGATTAATATCTGCGAGTGTGGAATCTCGGAGTGATCGTCATCGACTGAACTGTCTCCATCAAAGACTCGAAATACAGGAAAAAAAAAACATCTCGTTGTGCTGAGAAAACCCAGGTGTATATTAATATGAATGACGTATTGAGGCGTTTACACGTGTTGACATTGTGTGTGAGCTCTTCCGAGGTGAACTCATTGCCAATCGCTAGATGTAACATCTCTTCAGGTATTTCCATTTCCAAAAAATTGAAATCGATAATTGATTTCAATATATATTAAGGATGCTTTGATTTTTATTTTTTGAGTCTTCCAATATGTGAATTATCAATCCGAAGATAAATCCTATAATAGGCCATGGACTAGAAGAAACTGTTTTTTTTTCTCATTTTATCAGCTACTGCCACTAATTTCCCTTGATTATGAGAAATGTTGGATTTATATGTTCTCTTGTTAGTCTAAAAAATTACAGAATTGTCCTCGAACTGAAAAAACTCAAATTTCTATTTTTGAAGAATGGATAAACATCCTTAATTCCTGAGTATGCGTTTTTTAAATCGACATTTGACCCATATTAAAGATGTTGTTATTTTTATTTTTGAGACTTCTAATAGGTGAATTATCAATCCGGAGCTAAATTGAATAAGAACTTATGTACAAGAAGAAATTGGTTTATTTCATATCGTCCAAGCTACTGCAACTAATTTTTCTTAATTATCAGAAATGTTGGTTGTACATGTTCTCTTGTTGGACTAAAAAATTACAGCATTTTTCTCGGACTGAAAAAACCAAAATTTCCATTTTTGAAAAATGGAGAAACATCCTTAATCCCTGAGTATGATTTTTTTAAATCGAAAATTGACCTATATTAAGGATGTCTTTACTTTTATTTGTAGAGTCTTCCAATAGGTGAATTATTAATGCGGAGATTAATCTAATAAAAGCCCATGTATAAGAAGAAATTGGTTTATTTCATTTCGTCAAATCTATTGCAACTAATTTTCCTTAATGATCGGAAATGTTGGTTTCATATGTTGTGTTATCAGTGTACAAATTTACAAGACTTTCCTTGAAATAAAAAAACGAAAAAATTATATGTTTGAAAAATTGGTAAACATCCTTAATCCCCGAGTAATAAGATTCCACTAAACTCCACGTAACGATTGTAACGATAAAATCCACAATCCGTATGTTGATTTCAAAAAAGTTAAAAATGACAATTGACCCACATATTAAAGATGTTTTTATTTTCATTTTTTTTGTCTTCCAGTAGTTGAATGGATCAATCTTTGATTCCGTCAAAACTACAAAATCTCCTTAATTATCAGATAATATTTTCCATCAGTCGGAAAGCGGTAAAACGGTTTAAGTCGATTTCAGTGTTCAATGAATATCTCGAAATCTACGACAGATAGGAAATTTTTTATTATAACCCTTTTTGCAGCGCCCAATTCGCTCTACAAAAAAGGTGATTACAAAAACCTCCCTTAGATTCGGATATATTCCTCAAGATAGCTAAATCGACTTGAACTATTTTACCGCTTCGCTACTCATGTTCTCCTATCAGTCTAAAAAATTACAAAATTTTCCTCAAACTAAAAGAACGAAAAAAATCATATATTTGAAAAATGGATGAACATCCTTAATCCTCAATTAACAATATTCTCCTGATCTCCACGTACCTCTCATAACGCCAAAACCCGCAAAACATCGAGCCACAAAATGTTATCCAAACTTGAAACAAACAATACGAAGCAGCACATACCACTCCACATATTTCCTCAATAAAAACATAAACGAAATGACCGAGGATGCTCGTCACCGCTATAAACACGTGTTTACATCATAGTAGTCACAGCTGATAATATTTATTACCGTACAATGCACATAAGCAGCATTCAACACTCTCGATCGACGTTAAATTAGAAAGATGAAGCCGAAACTAGCAGAATAAATTGAATTCACTGAACAGTAATTTATCGAATTTAATCCACTCGAGCCCAGAGGTGTCCCCAAAAAATCCCTCAACTCGAATCTTCCACTTCCCCCAATTCCACCAGCTTCAACTTCACAATAAAACTTCAACAAGAATATAAAATACTCACACTTTATCAACTCGACGACGTCCGTGTGCACTGACTGCATAACGTTGACTCCATTCACCTATCAAATTGCGAAACATTAAAATACCACGAAAAAAAAAGAATAAACAAATAAGCGAAATGAAAGAGGGAATGACACCCACCTTGAGTATTCTATCGCCGGCAACGAGACCAGCCCTAGCAGCAGCACCACCTACAAGTTCCGTTAACAATCACTATCTATCACATATCTAATACATCCTCATCGTTATTGAAATACCAACTGAAGCCTTTTAAATCAGCAAAACAACGATAACACATTGACAAGGATAATTAATGATGATTTACCCTCTTTAACTGACTGGACGTAGACAGGATTATCGCCAGATACTTTCATTCCGTAACCAGCATCATCTTTGTAGACAACTAGAGTTGCAACGGGCAGTGGTTCCTGTCCAACTTTACCAGCACCGACGGCCCGGCGCAACGGTGTTGTCGTTCCATTCATCCCTCTTCTTTAATCCCGCCACACCTTTATCGCCCTTTTTCACCTCGACATCGACTGATTATTCATGGACCCTATTCACAGGATTATTATGGATTATAGCGTTAGATTATCCCGCCGATATTCGGTGCATCGATTTTTATTTATTTTATTCTTCGTGATTTGGAGAAGTTTTGAATTCACAGAGATGGCCTTTAATTAGCGATAACTCGGGAACGGCAGAGTGAAATTTTCCCATTTTTTTTTCATTCTCGAGGTATTTCTTCAAGCTTCAAAATGAGACGTGACGCCTCCGAATCAAATTAGTTGGTCCCGACATATTTTCGATAAACGAAAATATCAGTTTTGAAGGGTTTAAATTCAATGGGATAAAACCGACGGTTTCAACCAGCGATAACTCGAGAACGGCAGAGTGAAATTTCCCTACTTTTTTTCATTCCTGAGGTATTTCTTTAAGCTTCAAAATGAGACGTGAGGCTTCCGAATCGAATCATTTGGTTCCGAGATATCTTCGAATAACGAAAACATTATTTTTGAAGGATTTGATAAAACCGATAAAACCGACGGTTTCAACCAGCGATAACTCGAGAACAGCAGAGTGGAATTTCCGTATTTTTTTTTAATTCTCGAGTCATTTTTTCAGGCTTCAAAACGATACGTGACCCGTCCAAATCGAATCGTTCACTCCTAAGATATCGTCTCCCAAACAAACCCCGTATTCTCACGTCACCCCGAAAATGTTATCATCACATTTAATCACTCGTCTAATTGAATGGAACTAATTCTCTGGTTTACGCGAGTCAATTTGACACCTCCGCCTCCTAATAGCTCCACCATTCGTGCGCGAACGGACGCAATACATGTGGTGATAAAGCCCGAGAGACATTTGACAGTTGGCTTCACCTTGGTGGCCGTCGGCAGACTTCTTAGGATTGGTTTTATCGTACTAATGAGTACTTCCGAGGTCAAGCGATGGGATTGATATGATGCACGGTACAATCGAGATGGACATATGATCTGACCCGTGATTTTAATCGTCTTATCAACGTTTTTATCATTCATTCATTTGGTATTTTTGTTTGGGCACTCACCTCTCATCTAGACGTTTGGGATCCCCCAGGAGTCCGGGTTATCTCGCACTTGTGGGGCTATACTACTACAGCTTTGTCAGAGTATACACTTATCATTTTATGTACACAAAATAGGGGAGTAGCTGCATCAAAACACCACATGTAGACGGTCAATTCGAGTGCATTATTTTTCACCACTGGCCACTTTCACACTGCACGGCGGTGACGCGCTATCATAATCCATAATAAAGAAAATACAAAAAATAGGTGTTTTTTTTTCTTAATCCAGCGACTGGGTGTTTGATCCCGTTTGTTTTACCACTGAGGTGGGAATGGGGGGCCTCGATTGTTAGAGGAGTCGAGAACACTTGATAGGATAGGCACTGCAGGTTTCCAACGTTTGCTCAAACACCTGATGATAATTGGGTTGTTTTGTTTTATTGAATTTTCGTGGGGAGAGGAATAAATATTTCAGTAACTAGTGACAGCCATCTTGTTTCCCCGGTGGGATCTCCTCCCTTTCGCACACGACTGTCCGCGCAACTTAGGTTTTGGAGTCTGTACGCAGACTGGGCTTTACCGATCCGAGGGCCGGGAACGTCAGAGGGAGCTGGTTGATTTGAAATTAGTTTGGAGGTTTTTTGTTTACAAATGGAAGAATTGTATTCGTTAAATCCGAAATTTTAGGTTTTTTGGGTCAGGATAACTAATTTTGACCGAAGGAGTTCGAATATGATATTTTTACAGCATGCCAGGATGTATATATGTATGTGTGTGTGTCTATGGGTTTGTGACCGATCGTTTTTCGACGATAACTGAAAAACTAATTTTCATCACGCTGTGCGAAAAAGTAACTTTTTAGACACGCTTCGCGTGCCTAAAACGTCCCTTTTCCACACATTGTAATGAAAAATGTCGTTCGATACTCGTGGGAAAAGTATTTTTTGGCTCGTGGGAAGTTTATAGCACGAGCCGAAGGCGAGTATACTATATTTAAGGCCTGGCTGGTTTATCTTTCGAACGTGATCTTGATTGTTCTTTTTATTTTTATAATCTGAAATGATCTCCAAATGCTATTCAGTTTTACATAGCCCCGGAGTCTCCAAAAATTATGATTGTACAATCAAAAAAATGTTGAATAAAAGCAGAACATTTTCAAAGAGCGTTTTGAATAATATTGAGAAATAAATCCAATAGAGAGGAAATTGCAAATTAATAATTTGATGCATCTAATGGCTGTCCGGTCATCATTTGTCACAGTAGTCAATGGCTATCAGATCGTTAGTTACCATGATAAATTATCCATTCACTATTTCCTATCGGACTTATTTCTCAATCTTTATTAAAAATGCTCTTTGAAAACGTTCAGTTTTTTTTCTATTTTTTTTTATTGTACAACCATAATTTTTAGGGACTCCTGCGTGATGTAAAATCCAATGGGAATTGTGATATATTTTACATTATGGGGATGGAAAAACAATCGAGACAACGTTCGAAAGATAATCCACCCGGGCCTTAAACGAATCCAAATGTGATTTAAAATATTCGTCCTTTGTTTTTTTTTCGTTATTTTACATCGCTTCGACTCCGTTAGGGTATACTGCGATGATGATCAAGACTTTAAATGGTTAGATCGCACCATTCTATCCGGCCGGGATTTGAACTCGGAACCTTTCGCATGTGAGGTAACGAACTTACCCACTGCACCAAGCCACCGGGTATATAAAAAAAATAAATAAAAAAAAAAAAATCTTCCAAATGCTATTACGACCGAGCTCGAGCATGAGATTGATTGCATTATCTGTCGTTGAAAAACATTGTTTTGAAACCAATATTCAAAGGAAGGGAAACGAAATTAACGTTGAAGCAGTGTCGCCAACGTTAAGGTAATGTTGGCCATTAACGTTGGACAATGTTGGCCGCCAACATTGGGGCAGTGCTGGCTCCCAGCGTTGGGGCAATGTTGAAATCAATGGATCTATTGGTGAAAAAATTGATTTTGAAACCAATATTCAAGGAAAGGTAAAAAAATTTAACGTTGGAGTCATGTTGGCTGCCAACGCTGGAGCAATGTTGCCGACCAACGTTGGAACAATGTTGGCTACCAATGTTGGGGCAATGTCGGCTGCCAACGTTGGAGAAATGTTGAATTCAATGAATCATTGAATTCAATTTACAAAGTATCGTCATATAAATTCCTTTCAGAAGCAAATTGCTAATTTATAAGCAAAAATATATTAACAATATTGTGACGAACGCAATTTCCCACTTGGTTTTTTAAATTCGTTTACTGCAAAAGGGTTGAATGGAGAGATTAAATCGAGGTTTTTACAAAGTTTATGAAAAAGTTTTTTTTATGGAAACCCAAATTGTTTTAGTGATATTGTATAAATTTTATACAGTTAAATACCCTCAGACCTTCTTAGCGCAATTTTAAATCTTCTAAAGCCCCTGAAGCCGACCTGACGTTCATCAAATCATCGCATATAAAATTGAACAAAAGCTGAAGTAATATAATCCATTAAATCGATTCCCCCCCGCTCTGCTATAAGTACTACCACTGAGGAAAGGATAGAAGAAATCATAAGGCAAACTAATATCCAGATTTGGTCCACCAGCGTAATAGTACATCGAAGGGTTCGAGATATCATGGAACACCACATAACTAACAACCTCAGCCTCCAATCTCTCAACACAATCATCACCACTGCACTTATCCCAGTGAGCCTGACTCGCCTCCCCCAGAGTGATCCCCACCCCTATAATCTTATAATGGTCCTTGTCATCTATCTTCGGTAGAACCGAATACAACACATCAATCCTCACCGATTTAATCACCCCCACGCAAATGGTCTCATCCCCAAAGACCTCTGTATTCGCGTTATTCCGAGGGATTTTGTTCAGGAGAACCTGCGTCCAATGGGTGACATTACTCGAGGTATTGCTAGCCTTCGAGACATGAATTTTGTACTGCTCAATTTGGGAAACATTCACTAAAGTGTCTCCAAACAGTCTTTCCAGTATTTTCTCCTGGAGTTTGACACAAGATTTCGACGAGAAATCATTCGTCGTCAGTGATACTGAGCACTTGGACTTGATATCCTCCCCAAATCCAACGATCAACTTCTCCTCTTCGTTCTTGTAGCATTTCCCATCCTTTCCTCCCAGTGGAATCTTCAATACACTACTCGTCGTATTAATTACAATTTCATTCAGAACATTAGTCTTCGTGATGTTCGATGTTACCAACGTTCCGATGATTATCGGCTTCCCAATAAGGTACCCTGGATTCCCACTCCTCGCCACAACTCCTCCCTTCCTATCAAACTCATTAATCCACTCATATTTCACCTGAAAGTACTGATGAAAACTCCTGGAGGTGTTCCCCACCTCTACGAACACTCTCGCCCTCTGAATTCCACTCGTCCCATTGTGATGAATGACATACGTAACACGTCTTACAACATTACTGCAGACTCCACCATCACAGAGACCCTTCGGTGAAACAGTTCCATTACAAACCCCTGAATTCCCACAAAATCTGGAATCAATGGGGATGCAGACGTTTCTGGAGCACTCAGAGTCCCTTATCGTGACATTCTTCATGAATAAAGAGTTGGAAATCAACGAGATGTTCGTGAAAGTTTCACTGAACAAGAATTTATTAGAATTGGAGAGTTGAGTCTGAAGACAGACGGACTGGAAGTCCTCCAAGTACTTCAAACTCTTTCGAGACGAACATTGCCCAGTGAATCCAGTACTTGGAACGTCGACAGTTCGCATCGATTTATTGTCATATGTTCTCAGTAAATCTCCGTGGACATAAGGCGCATTGGCCTTGAATTTCTCCAGCTCCTGGGTCTCCTCCTCCTGCCATTGGAAGGACAACGGTGTCGACTCGTCTTCCTCATGGGCTTTCAGTACCTCCTCGAAATTCCTACGATTCTGCACTTCAATTGTTGTGATGGAAGTATAGAAAGGGGGAAGATTGTCGTGGGATATGCAGAATAAATTGTCTGCCAGTCGATCGAGAATAAAATCAGTTCTATTCTTCTTTATGAAGTCTGTTCTGTAGCAGTAACGACTGTCATACAGTTTTGTTGCTTGGTTGTAGTCGTAGCAGTGGGAGAAGACTGAGAGCTGGTACTCCTTACAGTCGAGGTCACAGCAGCAGTTTATGTCGCAGGTAGAGGGCAGAAGATCGCAGGGGCAGGCGTTCCCTGCAGGATTCAGTTCGATTGAGTTTGGCTTTAGGTCAGTCTCCACTGGGGGGTCAGGCGCACGTGGGGTTGGCTTCAGGGTCGATATGTTGAGGAAGTTCTTGACAAACTCCTCCTCGTCGTAGTCGCTGTCCGATGTGTTGACGTGGAGGATTGATGAGGAGTTTATGCACGTTCCCTCGTTGTCACATATTGTGTCGATGGTTGGGGCTTGTTGAACTGTGGAGATGATGAAAGTCGTGGGGAGTAGGAGGAGGCAGATATAAGCTGGTGTCGACTGCATTTTTGTCAGTTTAGAATGGTTTTCGTCTACCAGTGTAAGTTCGTGAACATTTATATTTCCCACGATGATGAATTTTTGCAACGATAATTAGAGAACCGCATACACGACAAATTTGTCTTGTAGAATGTGCACTTTGTTTTTCGTGCAGTTTAATGTTTTTTTTCAATAGTTTATTGATCATTGGGGTTTTAGCCAGAGGAATCAATAAAACTTGAGGAAAGTAAGAGAGGGCAGATCCAAGCAGGTGTCGACTGCATTTTCGTCAATTTAGAATATTTTTTTATGAAACAATAGGGTCTAGGTTCTCGATATTGACTGCAAATTAAACACTGTTTTTCACAATGATGAATTTTTCCAGCGATAATTAGAAAACCGCATACACGATAAATTTGTCTTGTAGAACGAACACTTGAGTTTAATGTTTTTTTCAATCGTTTATTGGTGATTGGGGTTTTGATTCAGAGTAGGTAGAGGCAGATCCAAGCAGGTGTCGACTGCACTTTCATCAGTTTAGAATGGTTTTCCTCTACCAGTGTTAGTTAGTGAATATAATTTCACTTTTTTCATGAAATCACAGTGTCCAGGCTCTCGATATTGACCACTGATTGATCACTAATGTTTTTAACAATGATCAATTTTCCCAGCGATACTTAGAGAACCACATACATGACAAATTTGTCTTGCTGAGCATACACTATTTCTCGTCCAGTTTAAGATGTTTTTTTTCAACTGTTTATTGATTATTAGGGTTTCTATTCAGAGAAAACAGCCGAATTTATTGAAATTCTGCGTCAAAATGTGGAACTCTAGGTGCACGGTCCCCATGCTCTCAGTCAGTAGTTCAAATCTATCAGTTCCATTAGTCAAGAGATTTGGAGTTTTCAGTTGCAGGCTCATTCCCAGGAAACGATCTCTCAAGCGATCCTGCCAGTTACCTGAATTCAAAAATCAAATGAGTTCATGAATAAAATCATGAGTGGGAAAATAAAGAATTGATTTTTTTTTATTGTGAAAGAGGATTGGGTTCTTTACCGATGGGTTTCCACGTGTGGCACTTGACCTCGTGAAAGCCAGGAGTTAAGGGCACAGGGCAGATCCCGTAAGCGATGAATAAAATGCGTCCATAGTTATCTCGACAGAACACTTGGATCAGGAGCTTCGGTGCCCCCTGGATTGACTGGGTTGAGTAATGGAGATCAATAGGATGACTCCAGGTTGGCTTTCCTGTATAGAGGTTCTGGCATTCTTGAGTCTGACCCTCGGGGTTTCCATTTATCAGTTTCCAGCCGTTACCTGGAACACCAATGTATCATCATCACGGATTATTTTTGTGGCAGATATTTAAAAGTTTTGTGTATCTCAGGACATAACTAAAGGGCATTTAAATCAAATCAAAATATTTGTGTAAATTCCAAATGAGATTCCTGAAAAAAAATAATAGGATTTCTGCCAGGATTTCATGGGTGTCGCACCCCTTGCTTCTATTCAGGGAGAATTGAGGTAAAAGTAACCATTTCGAAACAAAAATAATTCTTGTAAAAATCGTACGATTTGAATGAATTAAATTTTATTCTAAACTTCGGAAAAATACCTTTGAAATTAAAGAAAAAATCGTTGAATTCCAGACAAAAATAGTCTGCTGAATAAAGAGTAATACATTATTTTAGGATTTTAAGAGGCAATGGAATTTACCATCGGAGTAGAAATTGGATTCCAAGTTTTTTCGTCGTCAGACGACTATTTAGCAAATCTCAAATGCTTACATAACCAATGATCTTGGTAACTATAGTGTAAAAATTTTGATTTTGTTGAATAATCGTCTGACGACGAATAGACTTGCAATCTAGTTTCTACTCCGATGGTAAGTTCCATTGCCTCTTTAAAGGCCTCAAAATAAGATTTTGAAAGGCCTCACCTGTGAAAAATTTTTATAGAAAAACGTAGCGCATTCGCTAGACAATTCTATTGAATTTCTATAGAAAATTTTCTGTAGAACAAGTCAATAGAATTCGATTTTTCTATACAACTTATTCTATTGAGATATTTCCAATAGAATTTCCTCGGTTCAAATTTTCTGTTTTTTTTTGTTTGATTTTCTTAATGATAAGAAAAGAGAAATACAATGAAAAAAAGCTTGGAAAATTCCAGAAGGATAGGAAAATCGAGTGGAATTAACTTTTTCTGTAGAATATTTTCTACTGATCATTTCAATAGAATCAGCCAAAAACTATAAAAGAAAATTCTATAAAAATCCAATTGAATTGTCGCGCGAATTCACTAGATTTTCCTATTAAATTTTTTAGTTCGTGCTTAATTTGAAACATTCAAGGTCTCAAATTTACACTTGAAAGTTTTAATTTGAAACATTTCAACATTTCAAAAGAGACTTTCAAAAGTCTCAATTTGAGGTCATAAGTTTGAATAATGTTTTTCTTCGCCTCTTTAGCCCTAATTATTACCTGCATGAAAGCTCCACTTGCAGAACAATGTAGCTTGTTTAAAATTCTCAGCATATGCAAGCTCACCGAAGACATGAAGTTCTGCCATAGTCTTGCAACATCTTCACCCCTTTACTATCCATAAATTATCATCACCATAGGAAATAAACTGTTGAAACGTTTTACATTCCTGAGAGACACATGTCTACCCCAGACGTTAATTCATGATAATTAACTTGAAAGATCCATCAAAATTATCTTTCATTATATTATTCACCTCAGACACTCAACAATTAATTCATCAACGTAAAATGCACAGTAAACAATTGATGTCATGTCAAGTCCATTGGTTACGCTTTTCCGACTCACGTTGCCATGACAACAGCTGCAACGACCAATAGGAAACGCCAGAACTGTTGTTGGTCATTTAGATTTCTACTTTACCAAACTCAGCTGTCAAACGTGTAAACATGTCAATGATTTTAGGTTCTTCTTCTTCTGTTCAATGTGGTTATATCCTCTCACTCTAGAAGAGGCAAGCACCATGTGATTTTAGGTTATTGCAGTTTCGGAGAAAAAGAATTAGGACAGATGTGTGATTATTTCCCTATTTATATAGGAGATTGAAGTAATTTAGTAATTAAGAGATTGATATACTCTCTAGAAATGGATATTAGGCAGAAAGTTATTGATCAATTCAACGAAGTGTTCGGAGCTGAGTTGAAGAATCTCGAGAACATTGAGGAATTTCATGAGAAACTTGAAGCTGAAAAACGAGGGATTGAACAATCGGTGAGAATTAATTTTTAAAAAAGCAAAACAAAGAATTAACATCGATGAATGAAAATCCATAGAACTAAATCGCGTGTCTAAAATCAAAAGGTCATATGTGCCAAAAATTGCCTTCCTCGGCAAAAGGTCGTATCTGCCAGTATATACGACCTTTTACTATTAGCAAACCCACGAAATGAACCCCAAAAAGAATAAAATGTCCTATGTTGAGTCGTCAACGGAGAAACGCCTTTTTGCTATTCATGAAGTAAGAACAAACACTCACCTAAAATAAGAAGGTCGTATATCCAATTTCATTTTTTTTCTTGATGCCAATATGCATATCGTGTGTTTAAAAGCAAAAGGTCATATATGCAAAAAATGGCTTTCCCCGGCAAAAGGTCGTATCCGCCAGCATATACAACTTTTTGCTTTTAGGAAACCGATCAAAGTGACCCCAAAAAATTAAAAATTAAATATCTCGAGTTTAGTTATCAATGGAGAAACGACCTTTTACTTTTGATGAAGTTAGAAAAATGTCTCACCTAAAGCGAAAAGGTCGTATATCCAATTTTATATTTTTATTTATTTTATTTTTAACGAAATTTGTTGCAAGTTCGAGAACTTGTAACTGGCCATCGCCCGAGGGCCTTCAGCCAAGACCAATTTTATATTTTGTTTGCACTTTGATATTTCCATCTTTTTGAAAAAGTTTCCTCCAATTTTACACATTTCTCATTAGAGAAATTAGAATATCCTCCTAGTCATTGAGAGAATGAGGAATATAATTTTTTTATCCGTCGAATAATCATGCGCTCATGAATTCAAGATTGTTGATCATAGTCTGAAGAACTTTCAAATTCCCTCGAAACATGGTTCAGCATACACAGATAGAAAACGGGGATTGGCTTTAGAAAAAAGTTTCTAAATTCTAGAAACCGCGGTTTCTAACGTTCAGTTTTCTAAAATCTAGAAGTTTTTTCTAAGTTTTAGAAAAAAATGGTTTAAAATGAATTCCCATTTCGATCATTAATTGTAAACGATTTTTTTCTAGCTCCGTTACTAAATATACTTGATTTTAGAAAACAAAATTTCTAAAATGTAGAGAACTTCTTTCATTCTTGCAGGGGCATTTTCCAGGGAGGGGGAGGAGGGATTGTGAATTGAGAATTGACAACCAAAAAAATTGAGTCAGTGAGTTTCCAAGAATATCTCCAAAACTAAGGGAGATGGCGAATTTTTGCGCAAATTGTCGGGTGGCGAGATGGGGACAGGGGGGTGGTGTGCATTAAGAATTGACAACCATGCGCAGAAACAATGAGTCGGTGAGTTTTTTAAAAATATCTCCAAAACTAACGGAGATAGCGATTTTTTACTGAAAATTTGGAGGAGAGGGAGGTTTTATGGAATTCTCGATGTACGCCCCCCCCCTTCCGCAATTTTTCAGTAAAAATTCGCTATCTCTCTTACTTTCGAAGATATCTTTGAAAAACTCACCGATTCAATTTTTTTGGTTGTGAATTCTCAATGCACAACCACCACCCCTGCCGTCTTTTCAAAATCCCCCCTCCTCACATCTGAAATTCCCGATATTTGGGGACCCCTCCCTATGTATGCGGCACTTAAGCCCTTTAAATACCTCGGTCGTAATTTTTTAGTTCAATCTGAAAATTTTCTAAAATTAAGAAAAATTCAGCATTGCTTTTAGAAAATTTTTGTTCTTAAAAACAATTTCCAAAATCCTTAGTTTTTCTTATCCCATCAAGGATAAAGCTTAAGAATTGGAGTTTCGAAAATCGAGAAACTAGTTTCTAAAGCTAATCCACTTTTGTTTCTCTGTGCTTTACCTGCCTCTCCCATTTAACCCTCGAGAGTACACGGGATTCTTCCGATCACTGCCCTGATGAACCCTTAAAAATAAAGATCGCTTCAGTTCCCTAATTTAGATTTTTTTTTTAGATTCGTTCTTTTGTTACGAATACGTAATACACAAGCGTATCTTCAAAGAGGTATACAAGGGGTGATTAGTGCACAAAAAATGTTTAGAAAATAGAAACATTTTGAGAGTTTTCACAATGTTCCGAAATATACGAATCTGGATTAAAAATGGAGATACGCTGTTCACACAAATGGTGTTATTAAGTTGCCGATATAATTATTTGACCATAATCAACGATACGGATAACTTCAGATGACATCGACTGGAATATTGAAGGTATAACTTGGCCACGGAACTGCAAATAAAAAAATCCCAAATTTTGTCTTTACGACCTTTTGCTTTTAGGTCAGTCTCGATTTCTGAGGATAGAAATTAAAGGCAAAAGGTCATAGATGGTAACAAAAATTAAAAAATTTGTCATTACGACTTTTTGCTTTTAAGGAATTTTTCATTTCTGGGGACATAAGTTAAAGGCAAAAGGTCGTATATGCAGCTCATCATTAATCTGAAAATGTAGGTATTATAATAAGTTTCTCCAGTATTTTCACGAATAAGTGTAGAAAAAATGAGTGGAGATACGACCTTCTCGCTTTAAGAAACTCGGAAAGTAGCTTTTTGGCGTTTACGACCTTCTGCTATTAGACACGCGAAATATGACTTTTGACTTTGTCCAAAAATGTTAATAATTCATTCATGTAAAACAAAAAATCCAAAACTTTAATTTGAACGAGTACAAAACTTGTATTCAGAAGAAATAACTAAAATAAAATAAATGTTAATTCATTAATAATGAATGAACATCTGCCGAAACGAATAAATAAATGAATTGATTGCAGTTGACAATGGCCTCGACAGAAGCCCCATCAAAAGTGAAGGCAGCAGTAGAGAACGTCGAGAGCATCAGAACTCAGTATGAATTGCAGATCGAGGAAGCAACAAAACTATCTAAAACCATAAATCAAGTTCTGGATGACGACACTAAAGCTGCTGAGGTGCAGAAGGTAGTCGATAAAATCAACGAATTGGAACGAACACTGTCCTACCTCAAGCTCCTGAAATACCTTGAAGACATTAGTGAGGAGATGGAGACATCACTGGGAATTGGAGACGAAGAGTCCATGATAACTTCATACACGAATTTAGTTGAAGTCTCTCGGCAATTGCGATCTTCATCCTGTCACAATTTGATGAGTTATATGCGTGAGATTCTTCACTTCTGGTATAATACCTTGAGAGACAAATTTTCCAGGTGAATAATTGGATCGAATGGAGATGAATCAATTTAAGAAAAGAGGTCCATGTTTAGAAAAATTCTATAGGAAAATAAAAATCTATTAACTTTTTTCTATTAAATATTTCTTAACAAAATAACACGATGAAGTTGCATATTATTCTATAAATTTGGCACAAAAAACAAATTGAATATTCTAACAGAATTACAATAGAAATTTAATAGAATTTTGTAGAGAAATCGTTGGGGTTTTCTATTAAACTTTTTATACGTTTCTCTGTTTTACGAAATTGATTGATTATTTCAGTGAATATATGGACGTCTTGAAGTCCCTGAAGTGGCCATTTTGTGGGACTAATGCCTCAGGCCTGGTGTCCCCACTCGCAGAAACGATGACAAGATTCAAAATTCTTACGGAGTACCTCCTGCAGCTCCAATTGCCGGATGAAACCCCAAAGTCTTCGGTTAAATCGTCTCTCTTAGCAGACTTCAGTCCAGTCTGCCTTCCTGTGATCCTGCTGGTTCGTCCCTTGAAACAGAGATTCGTGTACCACTTTACAGGTAATTGAGTTGAATACCAATGGTTAATGAAGAGCATAAAATTCTGATTATTTTTGGCATCAATACTGCAATAAAATTCATTTTTAATCATGGTTAATTAACAAATTAAAAATCTTCAAATGACACTACTCATTACTCATTTACGATATAATGCAAAATACTTGCTTGTTATTATTAATTTTTAAGTAAAAATCTAATAAAATATCCAACTTTCACATTCGTTAGATACAAAAAACACAATTTCCTTAAATTGCCAACATGAATAAAAAAAATTCATCCATCTATAAGAAAATTTTCAATCACATTTTTTATTAATAGTTTTATGAAAATGTTGACGAGAAATATTTCCATTGGTTATTCGAGGAATTTGTATATTTCATATTTAATTATTGATTGTTATCGTATCCAATTGAAACTTTCAATCATTCATTTACGATATAATCAAGAGTACACCCTCACTATGAATCATCAGTTTTCAATGCACCTATTGTTATAAAATGATATTTCTTTTTTTTCATGTATCGAAACTACAACAAATATTCTATTCTGTTCTATTCTAATAAAATATAATTAGTATAATATAAATTCAATAAAATATATGAAGTATTCCATGTCAAATTAGTTAACGACTGATCCCACCATCTGGGAAATTGATCTCGATTTTTTCTACGATTGGGGGGCAGGGAAAACTATCTTTCAATTGTTTTCACATTTTTTCGACAGCCAATTTTGGAAGCATGATTTTTTCTTTGTTTTTTCGTTTTTTTTTCAATAACTCCAGTTCTATTCATCCGATTTATATTCATGACGCATCAATATTTTCGATTTTCTATCATCTATGAGAATATTTTGAGTATTTTTTTTTTGAATCCCTAAGTGCTCATAATATCGAATTTTCAAAAAAAAAAGTTGAAAAACGAATTTCCAAAATTATGTCACATTTTATTTTTCTCATCTTTTTTCACTAATACTTGTAATCAAAACAAGTACTTTGAGCCATCATATAAATTGGGTTTCGTCCTACATCTATTTTATTTTCAATTTTTTTTTTCTCGAAATTCCACGAATTTGGTCAAAATACCCGAAAATGATATTGATTGAGTTTGATTATCAAGGGTATGAAGTGAATTAAAATGTATACTTATATGTTAAATATTTTTTTGATACATAACCGAAGTCGTTTTGGAGTGTTTTCACCAAATTCGCGGAATTTTGAGAAAACAAAATTAAAAATAAAATAGATCCAGGACGATGCCCAACGTGCATGATGGCCCAAAATAGGTGTTTTGATCATAAGAGTTAGTGAAAAAAAGATGAGAAAAATAAAAGGTGACATAATTTTGAAAATTCAAGTTTTTATTTATTTTTTTAAATTTGGTATTATGAATACCTAGGAATTAAAAAAAAAATTACCCAAAATTTTCTTATAGATGACAGAAAATCGAAAATTTTTACGTGTCATACATAAAAATCGGGTGAATAGAACTGGAGTTATTAAAAAAAAAGAAAAAACAAACAAAAAACCATATCTCCGTAATGGGCTGTCGAAAAAATCTGAAAAAATTGAGAGATAGTTTTTCTAGCCCCCCAATCATAGAAAAAATCGAGATCGATTTCCAAGAGGGTGAGGTTCAACCGTTGACTTATTTGGCATGGAATATCTCATATATTTTCACATGTCATGAAAATATAATCGAAAGAATATACAGGGTAACGTCAGCACCTTGTTTACAAATTTCAGGCAGATATAGAATAGAAAATTGGGAATTCAATGGTACAAAAATTACTAAATTTCGATAATAGACTTTCAAATGGTGAACATTTGAATTTTTCAATACTTCAGCCAAACATTGCGATTGACTATTACCATGATTGAAAACCATGACGCAGTTGTCAATGGCGCTTGATATGAGTTAATATCGCTTTTGATGTTGATAAAATTATCGGTTCATGGCTGCAATGAACATTGCTCAAACTACTGCGCATAATGGTGCTCCAACTATCGCGTATCATGTCGTTAAAATCATCGCAGTAAATATCGCCATAGTTGTCGTACCATTGCCATTTTCAATCATGATGTTATTGGGTAAATCTTTGAAAAATTATAACATTCACTATTTAAAAATTTATCATCGTAATTTCATAATTACTACGCCATTGAATTACTGATGTTCCATTCTCACAATTTGTAAACAAGGTGCTGACGTCACCCTGTAATTCCCGCTCCGTGATAGGTAGTAAACAAACGAATCGTCGAGACAAACCCGAGTGGTTTTTCACCCAAATCCTGACTTGGATCAAGGACCACGCCAGGTGGATAGAGAAGAACGTCCAGCCAGTGGCTGACACAACTGGATTCAACCACATAAACACGAAGGTCGAGTTCATGAGGGCTCTGGTGCAGCTAGCTGTCGAAAAACTCCACTCTGAGTTGCCTGTTGTCCAGTACGACGACGCCCTCTTCGCTCATCTAGTCGACGAGGCCCTGGGGTTCGAGAGAGAGTTGAGAGAGACTCTCCTGTACCCGCAGAGTCAGCCAGCAACAGTCTTCGTTCTCACTCAGGCCCAGACCTTCGTCAAGTGGATCAATATGGAGAGAAAATATGCAATCGAGAAGATTGAATCGATCTTGGGATCCAGTACTGCTTGGGAAAGGGTGAACCTCGATCAGACTGACGAGATGAAGATCACTGAATCTGCTGATGCCTTTCTAACGCTACTTACGACTATTTCGGATAGGTACAGTCATCTGCCACAGCCTGGACATCGGCTTCAGTTCCTGGAGCTTCAGCTGGAGCTCATTGACGACTGGAGGGTCAGACTACTGCAGCTACTTCATGATGATAGGGAGAATCCTCTGGAATCACTCATTCCGAGGATTTTGAACTCTATTCATTATGTTTCGAGGGTTCTGATGGAGTGGGGAGTCACTGTGGTGAGTTTGTGATTTATTTTTTATTGAATGCAGAATTGATTGATTCATTTTTATTCTATCTTTGTTTGTTTATGCATGAACCAAGGGGGAGCTACGCCCCCTGCTCGTTCCGTTTGCCAACCCCCATATGACCCCATCATCCTTACTCTGACCCTTGTGAGCCTTAATTTGACTCGTGATCCTTATTCAGACCCTCATGGCTATGATTCTGAACCTTGTGACCCTTATTTAGACCCTCAAAACCATTATTATAGAGAGATGAATGCAGAGATTGGGCTCAGAGACATTTACAGGTGGAAAATACGAAAAGATACACTGTGAGGATGGGATTGATATTTGATCGACAGTTGAATAGCAATTGGGAGGGGGCGGAAGGGGGGGGGAGTTATGAAATTTCAGATTTCATTGACGATTAAATGGAATTCCAAATTTTTGAACAGTAGGCAGACGGGAATTCTTCAACTTGTTTGAGTTTTCAATGGAAAAATGATTATTTAGTGTCAAATGATACTGAATGTTCATTAATTAAAAATTAAGGAAAATAGTTACCTGTATTTTTCTGATTCCTATTGGTTTTTATGGAATAATTGAAGTGAAATTTGCAGTTTCCATTGATTTTTCCCCAGAAGCCTTGGATGTTCAATGACGGAATATTTTGGAATTTCAGTGGAATTATAATGTGATAAAAACTTCAAAGAAGTGCATCGGAAATTTCACCCAAGAATTTTTACCAGTGAATGCATTTTCATAAAATCGCTCATTGTTATCATGTAATTTAAATGATAGCTTGAGCTTGAAAAGTTTGAACATTTTTCGAGGAATTTTCAGGAAAGTGACATTAACGTTGCTTTAGGGGGAAAACATAATGAAATTTAAGTCTAGATTGGTCATCATATGAGGTAAACCCCGCTACACGTCGTTTTCTTTAATTACAATTGACTGGTTAACCGGAAAATTTTTTAAAAATTCAACTTTGCCAAACGAAGTGTCTAAAGAATTTATAATAGTTTTTAGAACAACATATTTCCTGAAATTCTTAAAGAAAACAAATTATTTCGAATAGATGAATTTTTTTTTTCCATGCTAAATGAAATTGCCCATCACGCGACGTCGCTGGAGACTCGCTAAACGCGCTTGGGCAGCGTAGAGTGAATTCGGCAATGCAAGAGCCTAAATCACGGGGCGGGGAATCCCCGCGGAGGTGACCAGAGTCGCAGGGTCGCGTTTGGTGACCAGACTAGGGTTAAAAATTTAGAATACATTCCCCTGAATTTTCCTTATTCCTATCAATTCTCATGGAATAATTGAACTAAAATACACAGTTCCCATTGATTTTTACATAAAATTTTGAGTTTTCAACGACGAAATTCCTTAAAATTTCAGTGAAATTATAACGTGATAAGAATTTCCAACAGTTGAAAATTCAATTTTCATCACTTGTTGACAGAGCTGGGTAGAATACTCTTTAAAATACTATTGTAAATATTCATGACTAATTACTATTTTGAAGTTATTGAGCATCGCAAATAAAATAGTATTTGAATAGTTGGACTCAAATACTATTTGAAAATAATTTCAATTGTCGACTGATGAAATATGCCAAATTTAAAAAAGTATTTAAATAATTCGTTCAAGGAACATACTATTTAAAATAATTCATCGAATTTTCTTGAATTTTTTCTTATTACTAGAAATTTTTCTTTCCTAGAGAAGAAATTAGAACAGAAACAATAACTAGAAATAATAATTTTTCAAGATATCAAATAGGTAACGAACGAAATCATTAAAATCATATGAGCAGTATGAATTTTTCATGTAATGTCCTCCTATCTACTCCAAAATTCTATCCAATATCCTGTGATGTCACAAGATGTGAAACGCTATATAAAGTCCCATCTTTAGTGATAATCACGGCAAATAACCCATATGGACGAACGGGGATAACCCGTCTATTCAGCCCATCCTTCGCAATTAATTGCGATTATGCCACCGCGAGAGATCAATGAAGGTGATAAGGGATAGGAAAAGGAAATATTCGAAGGAAAAAAAACTATTCCATGTAAAACCAAATAGCGACATACTGAAATAAAATAATGTTTACTATTTCATTTTTAGTTTCATTGAAATGAAATATCAAATAACTATTTTATTTGAATTTTAAAAAGATATATAAATAAATACTATTTGATCGACCGAAATAGTCAACTTGAAATATATATTTCAAATAGTATTTCATCGTACTGAACCATTTGGAATAGTATTTCTATTTATATTTAAATACAACCGAGGATTTTCAATATTTTCCAGCACTTTCTGCAACTATACTTCTTCAAAAAACAATGCGAAGCAGCAGAAGTAGCAACGGACCAAGGAACCGAGTTATCTGAATACGCTGAAGACGATGGAACAGTGTTTGACGAGTCAGTAGCACTGCTGACGAGACTTGAGAATAAACTGATGACTGAGATATGTCAATATGTCGTATTGGACGTGAAAGCCAAGAGCAGGCCCTACAGAACGGACAAGTGGTTCGCCATGCAGAATAAAAAGGAAGTTGTCTCTCTATCAGTGACCCCCAGTGGGTGCCCAATGTTCCAAGAACTAGCTTCTGGACTTCACAAACTCCACCAGATTCTAGCTCTTGAACTCTTCAACATTGCGTGGAAGAACTTGGCAGCTCAGCTGGATCAGTATCTCTTCGAAGAGATTGTTCTTGTTAACAGGTTCAATGTGGGTGGAGCTGAACAACTGAAATTCGATGTTACCAGGAATTTATTCCCTCTCTTTGGACTTTATACGAATAAACCAGAGTCGTATTTTCCTCTGTAAGGGCTATTATCGTATTTTGGGAGTCTTTTTGCTGTCTATGAATTTTTTTATCACATTTTTGATGGGGGACATTCATTTCAGGATGAGGGAAGCTTGTATTCTACTGAATACACTCCTGGGCTCGGCGATGCTGTTGGTGGACACTCTGGACACCAATGACGAGGCTAGATCTGTGGAAGCTTTAGCTGAACTTGGGGTTTATAAAATGACGTCTGAGAATGCACTCATGGTTCTTGCTACGAGGACTGACATTTCTGACGTTTCTGTTCAGTAGTAGGTATTTTCCTAATGTATTTTGGTGATGATTTGTTAATAAAATGGGTTTTAATTGTTGAAATTTCAATTTTTTTACCTGAATAATGCAGAGAAGATTGGTGGGTAACGTCTCAACATTTTCAATGAAATAGTTTCCATGAGGAACGAAAAAAAAAAGAAATTCAAAACATTCTTCTTCGGGTGCATAAATGGATTCATTCGAACAAGAAAAACAACTTTTGACCAGTGTTGTTTTTATTACACTCCAAATTCCTCTCATCCATCATTGACTTAATTAATTAACTAAGGAGTTGAACATCATCAGCAGAAACATCTTTTGTTCCTATATTTTTTGACATAAGATGATTCGAGAAATGTTTGGTGTGGTGTATTTGAAGTCGACTGAACTCTTAGCTGAGTATTCGAGAAATATCTCCGAATCCAAGGGAGGTAATGAAATTTTCGTAATAATCTGTAGAACGATAGTGTGCTACAAAAAGGGTCATAACAAAAATTTGAGCTGTACGGACAGCAAGTCAACGTCCGGTGGGCAACGAATAAGTCGAAATTATTGAAAGAATAAATTTCTAAATGAAATTAATTTTTAAAATAACTCCAAACATGACACTATCTCCTTTAGATTCCTAGATATTCATTGAAAATTGGTCAATAGTCTAAATCAATTTGAATCGTTTTACCGCTTCGCTAGTGAATGTTTTATTCAAAAAAGAAAAACAACTTTTCTTTCTAAATTCTTTGACACAATAAATATTTGATGTGGTGTAATACCACATCACACATGGACTGTTTACCATTTCATAATAGTCATCAATTAAAATAATTATCTGCGTGACCCTCAACATTCCGACAGCTTTCACTGAAGAAATTCAGGTCCTTTACTAAAGCAACATATTCTGTAAAACTTACGATTCATTGACAGATCGTCAGCCAGGTCAACTTGATAGAGGTAAATATCGATCCCCCATTGATCCCATTGATGACCCATTCATCCTCTCTGATAACAGTATCCATCAACATCTAAAATTTCCTCCAGAATTTCTCATCGCGTAGGTTTTATTCTCATCATTGCAATTAGTGCAATACAAAATCCTTCGGATTATCCTTCGCTTTACGCTCTCAGTTGCACTTATTACTTTCAATCAGTGTGAATGAAATAAAAACTTTACGTTGTTGAGTGGGAAAATTACGAGAATGGCCTTTTTGTATTCAGTCTGTCTATAACAACTGAACGGATAATATCGCTCTTCTGGTGATCTCGTCCACTAGTCAAGGAAACCCATTTTTTTTTTTCATCGCGAGATTGAGGTGCTTAATGTAACACGTACGTTGCAATCGTCAATTAATTCAGTAACAACTGGAAAGGAATTGTTTACATTTTTTGTTGAATATTATGTGCGTATTTGCGGAGCCAGGGGGATGGCGACAGCTGATTGCAACTGTTGTCGGTAGGTTTTTGAATGAGAATTTATCGGATCTTCACGATTTAGGAAGATGTCATGGAAGAAGAATGTTTCCTCAATGTCTTATAGTGAAGTGTTTTTATATGAAAATTTTATCAGTGTTTTGCCGATTCCATTGAAGAATTCTGCAGGTTTACTGCGTGTATTCAAGTGGAAATTTTCCAATAGAAATATTCTATAGGAAAAATCTGTAGAATTCCATCTTTCTATACAACATTTCCTATGTATTAATACATTTTCTGTAGGAATTCCTCGATATTTTCCCAAGTTTTCTATGTTTTTTCAACTCTATTTTTCTTCTTTTTTCATTAAAAAATCAAACAAAATTCAGAAAACTTGAGGCGAGGAATTTCTATAGAAAATATCTCTATAGAACAAGTTGTACAGAAAAATCGAATTCTATCAATTTTTTCTATAAAATACTTTCCATTGAACATTCGAAAGAACTTTCCAAGAACTAATCGAAAATTTAATAGAAATCCAATAGAATTTTTTAGAGAATTCACTAGAAAATTCGATTGGATTTCTATTGAAAATTCTATTAGTTTTTAGCTGATTTTTTTTAATTTCGGAGTTTTACTGCGCGTTTTTTCATAGAAAACGTCAAATGGAACCTATTCTATAGAACGGATCAATAGAATTCGATTTTTTCATACAACTTATTCTAGCAAGAGATTTTCTATCCGAATTACTCGACATAATTTTTTTTGTTTTTTCCACTCTTTTTTTCCTCTTTCTATTAGAAAAAATCAAACTAAAAAAACTCGGACGGCTTTAACCGAAGAATTTCTATAGATAATGTCTCAATAGAATAAGTTCTATAGAAAAATCGAATTCTATTGACTTTTTCTTATTGAAAAAGAAAGGCGCAGGAAAAGCTGCTGAATTTTTCAGTAGAAGCAAAACTAGGATGAAAAGAATAGGACCATAAACTGATAGAAAGTTCAATAGAAATCCAATAGAATTTTCTAGGAAATTCACCAAGTTTTTCTATAAAATTTTTTCATTCATGATTTCAAGAGATTCATGAGTGATCACACTAGCTCAATTAAAATCAAATAAATCTCGAATCCCTCTGAACGCCCCAAATATCAAAATTTCCAGTCAACATGACGACATTTATGAACGGCGTGGCGATGGGCTGGCTGTCCCCGACAGTGCCCTACCTCAAGAGCAATTCCTCAACAGTAACCCCCCACGCAATGACAGATAATCAAGTCTCCTGGATGACCGGTGCCACGTCAATAGGCGCGTTAATGATCCTCCCATTCTGCGGAATGATGTCGGAACGTCTGGGCAGAAAGATAACCGGATGTCTGATAGCCGTCCCCTTCTTCATCTCCTGGCTGCTGAAAATCATTGCCACTAATTACCTCTACCTTGTGGTAGCCCGATTACTCATAGGATTCAGTGCAGCCATGTTCGGGAGTCTAGTTCCTATTTACGTTTCCGAGATCTCAGCGACGAGTATCAGAGGACAATTGGGAAGTTTGTTGATATTTACCTTGAACATTGGTATTGTCTCGGGATACGTCCTGGGAACTGTGTTTTCGTATGTGGTATTTGCTTCGATTGTGTTGACGCTTCCCGTCATCTTCTTTGGATTATTCATCTTCATGCCGGAGACCCCCATCTATCTCGTCCGGAAGAATCGCATCGGCGAGGCCACCAGGTAAATAATTAAATACGAGAATGATTTAGCGGAATGTCACACTATGACTATTTGACTAACGCCGTAATTATTGAAAGATTTCATTGAAGATGAAATTTACTGATTTTTCCTATAAAACAATTTGTACAGAAAATTGTCACGCCATTACGTATGGAAAAATCGTACAGAAATTTTCTATACGGATTGCGTACAGAAATTCTATAGGTTTTCCGTATATGATATTTGGATATTTCTATACGAATTATTTCTATACATAAATTTTTACATAAATTTTTGTATTCATACGAAAGATGTCTGAACATTCCAGAGAAAAACGTAGAGAAATGTCGCAACTCCATACGAAATGTTTCTATACATGTGGCAATGTGTCATATAGGATTAAACTTATAGAAATCGTATAGAAATAATTTGTATCAAACATATTCGTATAGAAATATCCGAATATCATATACAAAACTCGTATAGAAATCCTATAGAAATTCTATACGCGTATAGAAAATTTCTATACGATTTTTTCATACGTGATGACAATCTGATCAAAGTCGTAATTACACGTATGAAAAAATCCTATAGGATTTCCCCGGCTACCCGCGACTTCCTTGTTTAATGTGAATCCCTGTATTTTACCAGAAATTTGATGTAAAGAAATAGGAGCCGGATAGCTCATTTGGGAAAGCACCCGATGCGTAATCGGAAGGTCCCGAATTTCAAACCCCGGCCTGGATTATCCATTTTTTTCAGTAAAAATTTTCTGGTTATTCATATTGAGAATAATCCTGGTTTCTCTCCTACCTTATCCAAATCCCACCCAATCATTTCCTACGACGTCAGAAAGATGTGGAACGTGGAAATCCTATAGGATATGCTATAGGAAATCCTATGGAGAATTCGAATATTTCCTATAGAATTTTACAGATAGGAATTCCTATAGCATATCCTATAGGATTTCATATGATATTTTCAACAGGATTTTAAAAAAGGTTTAGGGGCATGAGGGTCACAATGAGGGTCAAAAGTGTCATATGGGGGTTATATAGGGGTTATATAGAGGTCACATGGAGGTCATATGAAGTTCATTTGATCCTCATATGACCCCCATATGAGCCTTCTATAACCTTCGTATGACCCCCGCATGTTCCTGTGACCCTCATATGGCCGTTATGACTCTAAATTTCTTGGGAAATCCTATTGAAAATCTTACAGGATATCCAATAGGAAATCCAATAAGACATCCTGTAGAAAATTCATGTCGAGGAATTCCTATAGAAAACGTCTCGATAGAAAAATTCATTTAAAAAGATGAAATGCTGCTGATTTTTTCGATAGAAGTTTCCACTGCAAATTTGATATAAAAAAGCACATTAGAGCTGCAGAATTCAATAGAATCTGTCAAAAACTGATAGAGTTTTCAATAGAAGTTCAATAAACATCCAATAAAATTCTCCATCGAATTCGCTAGGTTTTTCTATTAAATATTTTGTGTGAAAAAACGTCACACTATGACAACTTAATCAACATCGCAATTACAATATCAAGTAAATTTCAGAGGAAAGATTAGGGAATTCGCTGGAGGATTCTGTTAGATTTCTATTGAACTTTCAAGTTAGTTTTTGCCTGATTCTAGTGAAAAATTCCGCAGCTTCTCAGCGCGTTATGATTGAATAGATAATATTCAACAGAAGAAAAATACTATGCTTAAACCTTAAAAATACTATACACTTTACTCTATTGAGATATTTTCTATAAGAATTCCTCGGCGCAAATTTTCTGAGTTGTTCATTATTATTTATTATGCTGATTCAATTGAAAAATTCCGCAGCTTATTAGCGCGTTTTTTTTAGCGCGACAATATTCTATCGGAAATATCAATGGAATTCAATTTTTCTATGCAACTGATTCTATTGAGACATTTTCTATATAGAAATACCTCGGCTAAAATCTTCTGTTTTTTCGTTTTATTTTAAAATTTTACTAAAAATGAAGAGAACAAAAATAGAGTAAAAAAGCGTAGAAAATTCATGTCGAAGAATTTGTACAGAAAGTATGCCAATAGAATTTGTATAGAGAGATGAAATTCTACTGATTTTTTCTATAAAATAGTTTCTATTAGAAATTTGACATAAAATACGCACAGTAAAGCTGCGGAATTCATTAGAATCGGACAAAAAGCCTGGGGAAATTTCAGCATCGAACCATCGTCATTTCTATTCTCCTCCCATTCAGATCCCTGATGTGGTTGAAAAGTAACAATGAATCAGCAGCGAAACTCGAGTTACGACAGCTTCAGGCGTATGTCAAGGAGAATGTTGATACCAGTAGATCTGTTGGATTCAGGGATCTCGTCAGGGATCGAGGGACGATCAAAGGATTTATCATTGCATTAGTTCTTCTCGGGGCACAAGAGACGACTGGATATTCGGTCATGGTGAGAACTGATCTACAACGGTAGGGGAGGATGGGGCAAAACGGACACTTTTGACCTTTTCTCTGATGTTCGTAACCTAACACCCATTAGATGCATCAAATTATTAATTTGCAATGTCCTCCCTATTGGGTTTATTTTCCAATATTATTCAAAAACGCTCTTTAAAAATGTTCAGTTTTTTTTCAACGTTTTTTTGATTGTACAATCATAATTTTTGGAGACTCCAGGGTTGTGTAAAACTGAATAGCAATTGGAGATCATTTCAGATTATCAAAATAAAAAAACAACCAAGATCACGTTCGAAAGATCCAATAATCCACCCGGGCCTTTAATTGAAAAATAAATCAAATGGAATAATAAAAAAAAGTGAAAAGTATCCATTTTGCTCCATTCACCTCTAATTGAGGTTTTTGCATTAAATATTTTTTATGAATTGAGCAATCTTGGGAGTAAGCAAGAGAGGATTGTATTCATTAAATCCAAAATTTTCAATGTTTTGTGCCAGGAGAACTGATTTTGGTCTCAGAATTTCGAATATGCTATTTATAGACCGTGTCCGGATGTATGTGTGTGTGACCGATCATTTTCGACGCTAACTGAAAAAATTATTGTTTAAATAAATCCAATTGTGATTTAAAATATTCTTCCGAATGCCATCTTGACAGCGTTCGAGTATACGATGGCGAGGGACTAGTCACTTAGGAAATCACTGGACCACTCGATTGGAAATCAAGGAAGAAACCACCAGAAATCACTGGAAATGAAGCGATTTCGATTTCCGATAGTGATTTCTAATGACTTCTGGAAATTGTCGAGAAATCAGAATAAATCATAAAGAAATCAGGTTACTTCAGAAACAATTAGAAATAATTGCTGAAAGTGAAACCCAAATTTTTTATTTGAGCTTCTAGTAGATTCTGATGATTTCTTGAAATCAATACATCATCAAAATCTATTAGAAATCATGGAAATCACGAGAAATGAAAAGAAATCATGGCTTCCAATTCTTATTGAGAAATCACAGAAATCATTCAAGAAATCACCGGAAATCATCCCATTCTTGTAATCACTGAGCCACCCGATTGAGGAGTGACCAGCCCCTCGGACGATGGATTGCATCATACGTTGAAAAAGTTTATTTTGAAATAAATATTCAGGGAAAGATAAAAAATTGTAACGTTGGTGCAATGTTGGCTACTAACGTTGGGGTAATGTTAGTTGCAGCATTGAGGCAATGTTAAATTCACTGAATCATTGAATTCAATTTAAAATATATCATCATAGAAATTCTATNCAGTGCGTGATGAAGTCTGGGGGCGGAGGGGGGGAGTGTGGGGGGCGAAGCCCCCAGTGGGGGGGAGTTGGGGGGGGGGCGAAGCCCCCCCCACTGAAGAAAAAAGATCACATCTATTTTAAAAAATAATTATAAAAAAGTGTGATTTAAAATTATGCGGAACTTCTGAAGAAAAAATTAATTATATTCATTAAATATGTAGTTTAAAAAACTTGTGAAGTATTTTTAATTGAAAAAAATTAATTATAATAATTACAAAATACAATTTTTAAAAATCATTAAGAATTCGCAAAAAAAAGAAAGTTATAATTATAAAAAAATATGATACAAAACGTAATTGAAAAATCGGAGAATATTTTATTTCCATTTTCTTCAAATGTCACATCACCAATAAACTCCTCCTCATCAGTAAATAAATTCTCCTCACTGCCTAACTCTTCATCACTATCAGGAATTATACGATTTTGGCTCATTTTATCTGCTTCGAAAATCACCTTTTCATTTTTCAGTCATTCCATGTATTCACTATTCGGAGGTTAGATTTCCTTCCTTGTTATTCTCTTTTAATAGGTGATGCGCATGCGCGTCATGCGTTAGTTCGGGTTTCAGTTGACTATAGTCAACTGGAAAGTAGTGGGTTTCAAGCACCTACCCACACTCAACTGTTAGAACAGTGGGTTTCAGTTGAGTGTGTGTAGACGCTTGAAACCCGCTACTTTCCAGTTGACTATAGTTAACTGAAACCCATGCGGTTACACGCACGTATCATATAAAATAATTTTCTATTCGGTAGAAAAGAACATGCCGGGCGCAAAAATCACTCTATAGCATAAACACTACCTCCACAGATGAATCCCATTCCCCTGTTAGATCTCAATCTCAACGTCCACTAGTTAGCTTGTCCCGTGACTCTCCAACAGCCAAACTAAGACCTCGTCATCGCTGAGTCTATGTTCTCTCCTCATTCGAAACTCCCGAAGGTTTTTCATATATTGTTTATATCGAGACGACAATATTAATAATTTTCATTAATTTTATCTATTGTTCTCTTTTCAAGTAATATGAAGTATTTCATCTATAATTCAATTAATTATTAATTACATTAGGGCGATTACACTTTTCTTTTTTCATTCGATTCAAATTCAGTATCACATTTTCCTTTTTCCCCCTCTAGGCGTTCCTCTGGACTCTGGATTTTGCTGTTTCATTTTCTTTTCAATTAATTCATTGACAAAATCTCCCGTCAAAACGTCTGAATAATTTGCTATTCCACTGAATGGAAAATTATTATTCTCATCAGTACTCACAATACTAAAAAAAAAGCTAACGAACAAAAGTTAATAAGAAATTTTATGTCGCGCCGTGCAATAAGTCGAGTTTATCGCACGCTGCNATTACTCACGAGGGTGGGGCGGCCGCCCGAGTGAGACCGCCTGCTGTCCGCACGTGTTGCGTATACTATTTTATATGATAAGTGCGTGATGAAGTCTGGGGGNAGCCTGCTCACAACTCGACTTCTGCACGACTTGACATAAAATATTATAGAGCACTCGGTAATAAATTTCGTTTTCAACGAATGTGTGTACAGACCTCGCCTTCAGCTCGGCCTGTAAACTACACATTCGTTGAAAACGAAATTTGTGCCCTTGTACTCTAATGTACTATTTTTGCTTGAATAGCGCCAAACATTCATTTTTCGACTGTTTCATTTTGCCCCACTCTCCCCTACTCATTTTTATTGAACATACATTAATTCGATAGTGCTTAAATTAATTCTATAGTCTTCGGATTTTTATACGTTTATAATTGACGAGGCAGGAATGTACTAATTACTTTTTGAGATCGTTAGCTTCCAAGATGATTCTTTCCTGTTGTATAATTACAGATTTTAGATTAAAGATCGTAATTTTCTGCAACTAATTAATTTCAATTGTTGTTTTTTCCACATCGTTTTGTATTTTCTATTAATTAGTCATGCATTCTCACGTTTCAATGGAACTTTGATAGATAGAATATGTGAATAAAAGAATTTTCAAACATAAATATACCACTTGGGAACAGATCGGTGACAGAAAACCTTTCACCTATTTTTTTACAAAGCAAACTATAGAGCTGTGAATGAGTAGAGATCGAAATATCTCTCAAATATTTATTTCGCACTTCGATGACGTTACATAAATCATCAACGATAAAAAACAGTACCTGATGATGCGTGAAGATTTAGATTTTCATTACTCTTCATGATTATTTGTCGTAAAATAAATGAGCTACCTATTCATCATTCTTTATTTGGACTTAATAGAGCATGTTCATGACTCATTTCTAAGATTGTTAGCTTCTAAGATGTTTCTTTCCTGTGGTTAATTACGGATTTTAGATTAACGATCGTCATTTCCTACAACTAATGGACTTCAATTGTTGATTTTCCACAAGCTTTTGTATTTTTTTATCAATTAGTAATGTATTCTCCCGTTTTAGTGAAACTATGGTAGACACACGATGTGAATAAACGTATTTTTCAAACATAAATATATCACTTGGGAATGCATCGGTGACAGAAAATGTTTCACCTAATTTTTATAAAAAAGATTGGGGAGTTCCTATATGCTATTTTAAAACCATGTCCGGATGTACGTTTGTATGTGTGTGCGTATGTGACCGATCGTTTTCCGACGATAACTGAAAGAATAATTTTTTTAATGAATCCATTTGTGATATGAATATTCTTTCCATTGCCATCTTAACCAAGTCCGATCATCAGATTGACTGCATCATCTGTTGCTTTTTTGCTTTCGATTGGAAGCATTGTAATTGTTCAAAGTTAAGTTTCGGATTTTTCGTGTTATATATATCGACCTATTGTGATGCAAAACCTTCGAAAATGCAATTTTTAGACGGTGTCCGTACGTATGTATGTATATGCGTACGTATATAGACAAATTTTTCTTCGATTACTCGCTAATGAATCGATGGAATTGGATCTTTTCATTCATTAAAATTTAAATCATTTATTATTTTCAATTTTTTTTTAATTTTTCAAAAATTGTTTTTTTCACGATTTCTAAAAAAAATTCTAAATTAATTGAATGATAGCTTAAAAATTTGTTTGGATGTACTTTTGACTGAGTTCGAAGATGAAGGCGATAGTAATAATCGTTATTTTGATTTATTTGAAAATTTGCAAAAATTCTGTTGTTTTGGAAAATCAGAATTCCCGGGATAGCTTTGGATATCATACTTCAAATAAATTCAATTATAGCTTAAAATGTTTGTTTTAATGCCATTAAGTCGACGTCAAGAGATGATTACGACAGCTATATTGCTTGATTTGATTTCTATGATGATTGGTGAACATTCCGAATTTTTTATGCATGAATATCACTGACAGTGAGCTTTCTGATGGTTTCTTCAAATGTCATATTTCAAATTCATTCAATTATGTTTAATACCATTTTTCTAATAATATTTTGTCAAAGTTTCAATATATACATAGAAGGTATAGATAGAATCATTCTTGCATTCGATTTACTCATCTGACGGCGCGCTTCCGCGCGTCTCTATGACGTGCGAATAGATGAAGGAGACGACAGGTTTTCGAAATATTTGCGATATCGACTCGACATTTGTGTGACACAAATTTCGAGAAATGACGTCATGACGTGTGTCTTTTAGATAAGGATACTAAAATTCCAGAAATTATTCTCTAGTATTCAATAGTTTGTTGATTTTCCATTATTGTGGAAAATGTACTTACATTGATTATTTGAATAAAAGAAAAAGGATTAAGGCCCGGGTGGATTATCTTTCGAACGTTATCTCGATTGTTTTTCCATCTTCATAACGTAAAATATATCACAATTTCTCTAAAAATTATGATTACAATAGAAAAAGATAAATAACTGAACATTTTCAAACAACATTTTTAATAAAGATGAAGAAATAGGTCCGATAGAGAGGAAATAGTGAATGGATAATTTATCATAGTAACTAACGACCTGACACCCATTGACTGCTGTGACAAATGACCTAACAGCCATTAGATGCATCAAATTATTAATTTGCAATTTCCTCCCTATTAGGTTTATTTTCCAATATTATTCAAAAACGCTCTTTGAAAATGTTCAGCTTTTTTCAACGTTTTTTTTTGTATTACAATTATAATTTTTGGAGACTCCAGGGATATGTAAAATTGAAGAGCAATTGGAGATTATTTCAGATTGTCAGAATGAAAAAAAAACAACCAAGATCACGTTCGAAAGATAATACAAATTTTTAAAAGTATATATCAATAAAATTTTTCTATTAACATTTTATGGATGGGCTGAGGGGAGAGACAGAACTGTAAAAATGACAATCGGTTGTAGAGACGAAAGGAATAATAAGAATAATAATGATGATGATAACATTTAGCTAAGTTGTAAATCGGACCAAATTAGTTAAAAAGAAATCTTATTCAATTTAATAAAATAAAATAAACAATGAATTATAAATGATAGAAGGAAATGATGTGCAAAATAACCATTCGGAAGCGTATTGCTAATTTATTAGCAAAAATAACTATACTATGTGGTATGTGCAATACAACAGCAATTGCTCACTTATTTTTTTCGCATCATCTGTTGTTGGAAAAATTTATGTCGAAACTAATATTCAAGGCAAGGGAAAAAATTTTAACGTTGGGGAATGTTGGCTGCCAACGTACGGGCAATGTCGAATTCAATGAATCTTTGAATTTAATTTAAAATACATCATCATTGAAATTGAAATCAGGAGTGCACAGCTAATTCATTAGCAAAAATATATTTACTGTTGTGGCGAAAGCAATGTTCCACTTGTTTTCTAGAGAATACTACGAATTTTCAAATGAGGCAGAAAAATGCGTGGAAAGAAGAGATCAAAACATCTGTCAGATATTTATTTCACACTTGGATGGTGTTACATGAATCATCATGAACAAAAAAAATGTACCTGATGAAGTGGAAAGATTTAGTTTTTTATTACTCTTCATGATTGTTCGTCGTAAAATAAATTGATCATTCTTTATTCAGACTCAACAGCGCATATTAATGAATGACTTCCGAGTCGTTATATCATCGCTTCAGACCCAAAAAAGCGTGAATGCTATCATCCTGAATCAAGCAGATTCCTGGAAAACTAATCTGAGAACCGAAAAACACGAGCCGATCTTCGTCAGCATGGTTTTGAAGTTCTCTATGTTCATGGAGTATAATTTTCCAGCAGTCAAGTTGAAACGATAATTTGTTCTCATAATGATAAATCTCATATCTTTCACGATGTTACGTGGCATATCGTACCAAGGACAGTTGTAAACAGCGACAGAAAGATTTTCAGCATTTGTACTCAACTTCTCACCCACATAGCTGTACATAAACAGTTGAACATTGACGAGATAGATTCTAATTATGAGGCCCGATATGATGACCAAATCGCCGGAACTCAAACTCATCAGTAAAGCAATTCCTACAAAGTGAAATTATGAAAAGTTTACAAAAAAATACTAGTGAAATGTGGGAACATATTCTATAGAAAAAGTAAATAGAATTTGATTTTCTTTCCAACTTATTCTATTGAGATATTTTCTACAGAATTTCCTCGAATCGAATTCTTGAGTTTTTTTTTCATTCAATTTTTCATTTCTCTTCATTAAGAAAATGAAACAAAAAAAATTAGAAAATCTGAGTGCAGCAAATTGTACAGAAAATATCTCAATAGAAAAAAATGTGGAGAAAAATCGAATTCGAGTGTTTAGTTCTATAGAATCTATTCTATTAAACATTTCAATAGAATTGTCTAGAGAATTCGCTAGGTTTTTCTATTAAATTTTTTCATGCATGAAATTAATGATAACAATAAAAAAATTACCGGATATGCAGACGAGCAAAGTATCGACCCCAACTTGAGCGAGAATAATAACATTGAACGTCTCCTCAAAATTATGCGCCAACTGAAGAAGATGATTGTGTCTCCTGACGAAGTCATTGAGCTTCTGTCTCCGCCACAAGCTGTCTTTAGTACCATCCAAACGCCTAACATTCATATGCAGCACTTCAAACTGTCCGCAGACATGCATCGCAATGCCGAAGAAGTAAGTGTCACACCCGATGTACGCCGTGCAGACAACGAGCAATTGCACGGATTGAAGGATATAATCCCCAACATATCGATATGTGGAGACATCATCAGGTATCCAACATCTCGGCCCGATAGGCACCTCCCGAACTGTGACATTGTCCTCTGGATCGTTCCACAATGCATTGATGAAGGGCAGTTTCAGAAAAATGAGGGGGAAACCAGCAGCATATACACCGCACATCTGTACGAGGAATACAAGCCGTCCTATGTATGCGTATTTCTTCATTACGCTGCGGGGTTTATCACTGACAACTGATGACCAGTCTTTAATAGCTGAATCGACAACAATCAACATGTTTTTTTGGTGAATTCTGGGTATAGCGACTTTCATTACCGTTAGGAATCCGCAAAATATTAGGCTCAGGGCATCGACGTTGTCCGTTACGGATCCACAGTTTCCTTTGATCAGGAGTTTTTTGGTGAGACTTATGGACATCCATAGCTGGAGTCAAAAGATCAGGAGCTGGAAAGAATAAATGGGTGTTCGGGCTGCATTTCTCCTGGAGAAATTGTTCCTCATGGATTTGTCGAGGGAAATTTCACTTCTAATATTGTTTTGAGTCATGACGTACGAAGTAATTTCCTCGAAAAACCTAGAATTCGATAGAAAATTCTATTGGGTTTCTGTTGAACTTCTATTGAAAATTTTATTAGTTCTTGGCCGAGTTTGTTGAAGAATTCCGCAGCTTTACTGCGCGATTTTGCAAAGAAAATATCCACAAGGAACTATTTTACAGAACTATAGCTAGAATTTGTTTTTTGTATACACCGTTTCTATGGAGACATTTTCTATAGGAATTTTTTGACATGGATTTTCCTAGTTTTTTTTGACTCCACATTTTTTTACTTTTCATTAGAAAATGAAACAAAAAAAAATTGGCAAAATTGGAGAGCGTAATTTCTATAGAAAGTATCTCAATACAATAAGTTGCAGTGGAAAATTGTATCCCATTGATTTTTCTGTAGAATATTTTCTATTGAACATTTTTATTGATAAACATGCGCAGATGAGCTGCGGAATCATTCAATAGAGTTGGCCAAGAACTAAAAGAAAATTCAATAGAATTTTCTAGCGAATTCGCAAAAAAATTCTGACAAAAAATATGAGACACGAAATTGAAATGAAATTTCAATGAGGAAAAACGTGAAAAATAAGGAGAATTTATCGGGAGAAATATAGCCCTAGATCTGAATGATGCAGTCATTGAAGACTATATTTACCTGTATTATGATAACAAATAACATTTTCGCATTTGGCATGAATCCGCGAGACTCGAGAGGCCATATTCCGAGGCCCCTCCCCAATAGTTTGTAATATCCGAGGGCGTATGTCGTGTCTGAGGGCCAGAGGTCAGCTTCCCTCGATGCTTCCACCTCCATGATCATCTTTACATTCAGCTGTCTGGAGACTTCGACACGGGGCGAGCTTATGCACTCATATTTTTATTAATGAAACTTGTGATACTCACAATGTGGGCATGCATAATCCATGCTCCAGCGAGAAGTGCACGCTATTCCGGAGAAATATTTTTGCTGCGGGGGAGGAGTAATATGCATTTTTTATCTGTTTTACTTCATGGGGGGATCATGCGCTCGAGACAAGTGTCACGTAGGGAAATGTTGCACAGACGGTATAGGGGAGGATTGTGTAGGTTTGTCTTAGAAGCAGTTTCTGCTAGAATGTCGAAATCTGTTCACTCGTGGTGAGATTTCTTTACACTCCATGATTGCGATAATGGATGAAGACTTTTACGTAAGTGCACTATTTTCTTTCAAATAAGAAATCTTTTTTAATTTTAATAAAAGATTTTGGATAAATCCTAGAAATCTATAGAAATTCCATAGTATTTCGAAAGAGTGTATCGATGAGAGAAGAGGTTTGACAGAAGAACATGTGTGAGGTTCAACATCTTTGTGGGCAATCCTTTTTTTTTGGCCGAATCTATTGAAGAATTAGTTTTTTTTAATAGAAAATGTCGCAATTATTTAATAGAAATAATCGGTCGAGTTTCATCTTTCTATAAGAATTCTTCGACGCGAATTTTCTAAGAATTTCTTTACTTCAATTTGGGCAGAGGAATTTCTATAGAAAATATCTCAATAAAATAAATTGCATAGAAAAATCGACTTCTATTAAGTTTCTCACAGAATATCATCTGTTAAACATTGTTATTAAAAAAAAAATTTAATTGAAACTCCAAGCGAATTCCATAGGAAATTCTATTGAATTCTGAACATCCCATTAGTTTTCGGCCGATTGTGTTAAAAAATTCCGCAGCTTATCAGTAAGGTATTTAGGAATGCTCACTGGAATATATTCTACAGAAAAAATCAATAGAATTCAATTTTTCTATACAACTTATTCAAATTTTCAATTTACTCAAATTTCCTAAGTTTGTTTGTTCGATTTTCTTAAGGAACTTCCGCAGTGTTTTGTGGCTATGGAGAGGGGGAAAATATCAAAGGTTCCGACACTTCGCTGCATCATTAGAAAAAAAAATAATGAAATCACGAAAAGTCCATGGGTGTCTTGAAATCTCGTCGATAAGGTTCCTTTGCATGTACTATTCATGATTCATCAATCGCAAGTCATTTTTATTCCAAAATATTATTTATATAAATTTTTTAATGAATAAAAATTTTCAAGAGAGATTTGACAACCACGCATTTTCATCGGACGCAGTTGGTATTCTTGTGTCCCGATGAAATCCTATAGTGTACTCTAATAGTATATTTCGTCATCAGGCCGAAAAAAAATTTCCTGGCGAATATGAGGTTTGCAGCACGAGTCGAAGGCGAGGGCTGCAATCATATTCGTCAGAAATAGTATATTTCGTCATTAGGCCGTATGACGAACAATATTTTTTGTCATTCCGGCCGTGAGGCAGCGCTTCACGGACGCTCCGCTCCGCGTCCGTGAATCTCTGCCTACGGTCGCCATAACAAAAAATACTGTTCGTCATACGGCCAAAAAAAACTTTTCTAGCTCATATGATTGCAGCCCTCGCCTTCGACTCCGCCTGCAAACTCATATTCGCCAGAAAAGTTTTTTTCGGCCCAGTGACGAAATATATTATTTTGTCATGACAGCTGTAGGCAGAGATTCGCGGACGCGGAGCGAAGCGGAGCGTCCGTGAAACGCTGCCTTACGGCCGGAATGACAAAAAATTTGCGNTCGCCATAACAAAAAATACTGTTCGTCATACGGCCAAAAAAAACTTTTCTAGCTCATATGATTGCAGCCCTCGCCTTCGACTCCGCCTGCAAACTCATATTCGCCAGAAAAGTTTTTTTCGGCCCAGTGACGAAATATATTATTTTGTCATGACAGCTGTAGGCAGAGATTCGCGGACGCGGAGCGAAGCGGAGCGTCCGTGAAACGCTGCCTTACGGCCGGAATGACAAAAAATTTGCGGTATTCGCGATCGCAACGTAGATGTGGGAGCCACCAAGTGGTCTCTAAACTAACTACACTTGGGGGGAAACCAATGAGATCCCTCGGAGGGAACCAATGATGGAGCTCAACAAATGAGATCAAAGAGAATCCAGTGATCTCATTGGTCGCCCGCCAAGAGTAATTAGTGGAGAGACCACTTGATGGCTTCCACATCTACGTTGCGATCGCGAATATGCCGCGGCGGAGTGAACCGAAGTAAACAACACGTTATGTTAGAGGGGTTAACTAGTTGGTGTGCTGTGAATTAGTTTGACAAAGAATAGTATACTATGCCACCAGGCGATAAAAGTATTATCTGGCGAATGTGGATTATAATCACATTCGTCAGATAATGCTTTTATCGCCGTGTGGCATACTGTATTTTATGTCGGTTTTCTCGGGCCCAACGACATAAAATCAATATAATACAACATGGAAAAATCAGATGATTCGTCAAGAACGAGGTACAAAGGAAGATTTATTACAAAAAAATCACTATAGCAAAAAATCGCAGGTAAAAAATTGGAAAAAACCAACCAAGGGAGAAGAGTGATCAAGCTGAAGGTCGAGAGGAATGATGACAATTTACCGATAATTGTTGGAAATTGCATTGTCGACTTCACATTGTTGGCTAAGGAGCTTGAATGTCCCAAGTGTAAGAACCCTTTATCGGTGAAGGACTGAAAAAGAAGTCAAACGTGGTTTGGGTTCATATTTGCACATCAGATGTGTACATTGCCTCTTTTTGAAGCCTACCAGTCAATGTCTGAATGATGAAGGAGGTGCAAACAGAGCATTTTTTTAGATCAACTATCAAATGGCTATGGGTGAATATCCAGTGTTCTTATCTTGGATTAAACAATTCAAGTTGATTTAACTCTTAGCTGAGATTTTGAGGAATACCTCCGAATCTAAGGAAGACGGCGTAATTTTTGTAATGACCTTGTTTGAAACGCAACTAAAATTCCGGAACATTCTGGTCGACTAGCTCGGCCTACTTCGAAAATCTCCGGGACCCTTCGGGTCATCAGTCATAAGTGTACCGAAATACGCGGGATTGAGTTTAGGCTTAGCATCTTAGCGTACAAGTCTATCTCGGTCAAATCACCTGTAGAAGTCTTACATCGCACCTCACCGAGTACAGTAGCTTTTGAACCTCACCTAGCTCATTAGTAACTAAGTACATCACCAGTCTTTTATTAATTTCAGACAATTATCGGTTAATCAAAAGACTATCAACAGTGACAATTTACCAAAGAGTGTATAAATTATTAACGACGTGGTTCGATCCAACGAATAAATAGTGATATTTTTATAATCAGTGCCATCATTAATTTTCCAGCATCTCCCTTCACATTTTTCTCCCACATCCACCCTAAGCCTAGTTCCTCACCAAACAGACCTTTTTTGTGGCTCTCAATTCGCTCTACAAAAAAGGTTTTGATAAAAATTTTACTATTTCGCTTGGATGCCGAGATATTCATTGAAAAATAGTCAACTTGAGCCATTTCACCGCTTCGATACTGATATTTAAATATTCATGATTATATATATATGAAATTACTTCCTCAGCATGTCTTCACCTCTTCACGTAGCCTATTTCTTGAAAGTCGCCAGTGAGACCGGCAGAGGCGCTGCTGGTTGGGTGGGGTCAAATCGCAGCGCTCGGTGGTCAGCGAGATAACCACATTTAAATGGATAACGCCCGTACATGTTATGGAAAGTATTCACGATAAAAATGGAAAAATTAATTTTAACAGAAGACGATGTTCCTGGAGCAAAATTACCCCATACAAAAGTCAGTCAGAATATTGTAAGGGATTTAAGAAGGTGGTTGATTTGTCGTAGTATCAAGGCCGATGGAAACAAAGCACAATTAATTGCAAGGTATCAACCCGTTAGGAGGAATAACAAACTATTTGATAGAAAAAATATCAAAATTTCTGTTGCGAACATTTATGTATTCTCAGTTATTTGAAAGCGAATAGAATAGTCTTTATTTCTTTTCATTCAGCGTTGAGGAATGCATTTCAAGTGGACACGCAGGCGAGATATTTGTAGGCGTCGATAAGGGTCGGTGGTATGAGAAGAAAGAAAAATTGAAACAAGCAAATGACCATATTTTTATGAACGTCCCCCCCTCAGTCCCCAATGCAGGTTGCTCTCAGTGCCCATCATGTGCGATTCCTCGTGGATTCTGCTATGAGAAACTACAGAGATACGTCAAAACTGCCAATGAAAGGGTTGGTGCTTATCTCTATGACTCCGGTAATTAAATCTCATCATCTTTCAACAATTTAACAACAATGGACCATTGAAAATATGAATTCACATGTGTTTTGCTTCTCGAATTTATTATCGGTGATCTTTATTTTCCAATAACTCGTGTGCATAATCTTTAACGCTTAGTCACTTGTGGGATGAAGCGATGAACTGCACTCACTCGAACTGCCAATTTTTGTCAATTGTCTATTTATCTCAAGAACAATTGCTTGTAAGAGAAAATATCCATGGACCTCTTCTGTAGAGAATTAAATTTTATACAAAAAATATTTGTTTGAAACGTAACTCAACCTCTTCAAGACCAAGGTCGATCAGCTCGGCCAATTACGAAAATCATAGGCCTTTTCCGGGTCAACGCCCAGGTCTAGTAGAGTCACCGTAAATCAACGCGAGTCAGTATCAATCGATCGGCCATGTAGTCCGTTTTGATTAGAGTTCAACTCTGTATTCGAGTAACGCGCAGAGTTTAGACACGTTCACAAGGTGTTTTGTAAATTTGTTGACAAGGTGTTTTGGAAATTTGACAAAGCGTGGTTTGAACCCGAGAATAAATTAACGTTCATACTAGGTCAAGACTCTCAACAATTATTTCACACCGACGATTCTCTAACCTCCCAATCCACCCTAAATCTAGTTCCTCACCAAACAATATTTTCTGACACTTCCTCGCCATTCCACTCATTACTGAAATAATTCAACAATTCAAAAGGTGTGGGGAGGCCTTCCATTGACCTTCATCATTTCACTGTTCCTTTTATCGGGCTACTGTACATAAATCATTTCTGCGATAATCCTTCAATTCACGAAATTGATCTGATTAAGTATTGGTATCACACAATCAGTGTGACAGTGGGGAATAGTGACGGTTTTGTAAAAAAAATTCTTGAAGTGTATTTCTGTTATGAATTGTTGGAGGAGTGTATTTTGCTTAGAGTGAGTTGGATAAACATCTTGTGAATGCAGATAGCACAAAATTTCAATAGAAATCGACTTAAAAATTTGAAGGGAACATGGACTGCTTGGGAGCATTTTCTATTCACCTGAAATGTCAGACCATTGGCCATTTATTGGTGTGTTCGTGCTTGCTGCCAAGGCACTCCCAAGAGGCTTTGATTATATTGATCGATTGATTAGATTGATCAATGAATTACAGGTCTGTGCAATCGATAAATCATCAATCTGCGATTGATGTGGTAATGACTACTCAATCACCAGTTAACGATTGATCAATGCAATCAAGCACTCAATCAATCGTCTACCAACTGAATACAGTAGCTGACAACTGAATCAAATGTCGGTGAAAAAAAATTCAATGAATCTATCAGAACTCTGGACCTCCCACTGTGAATAATTCGATTTTCATAAAGTTTCGGTTGATGTTTCACTATTTTACATTTTGCATTTCTGTCAATGGGTGATGGAGTTTCGTCAACTGGCTGTCTCTATACATCACTATGAGTTACGTGTGTGGGACAACTTGATTCCTGCTGTCATTTATATTTCTTAGAAATTGAATTCTCTAAAGTTGAGACAGCTGTCTGCAATATTTAATCAACAACTAGTTGTTCAGCTGTCCCTCCACGCTATTCGTTCTCTTCAGGATATTTGCGTTCTCCTTAAGAATTACTTTCACCTCATTCTTTTTCCCTAAATTCATGTCATAGTGAACTTTCCTTTTAAAGATGAGATTTAATAACAATATTGACTCTTTCTGTGATAGAATTATATTTCAGACGATGAGGCAGACGAGTATGAACCCAACTGTGGAAACTCAAAATGCCTCCATCGAGGCAGAGTTTCATTTGCCTCAGGCCATGTCAAGGGAATGCGAGATTGCATAGCAGATGGAATTTTTTTTTAATGGCCATGGTTGATCTCTCTTATAAAAATACCAAGCCATACAAAGTTCACATTACAGTGAACAACGATGAAAGTGTCATTGATGCGAGCTGTCAGTGCAAGGCCCGAGAATCGAAAAACTGTTCACATGTAATTGCTTTGTTGTTAGCTCTTGAGGATTACACCCTACGGTTTGGGTATCAACCAGTCACAGGCACATCGAAATTGAAGGCCTGGAATCAGGGTAGGAAAAAAGGGAACCATCCTCGGGCAGTGGTTGAGGCAAAATATCCCAAAGAAGGCCAGGCTCATGAGGCCAAGAAGCTGAGTGATGCCAGAAGATTCTTGAATTACAAGCCATCGGTCGAATTCAAATATAATCAGAAAGAAAAACAAGCAGATTCAATAAGAGACCTCCAATCTTTTCAGAAATCATCTGCGCTCGATTTTTTAGTTTCTATTCGATATGAAGATTATAATCTGGACCCTGAAAGATGTAATTTACTACAGTTACAAGTTCAGATGGTTTTAGATAATTTAAAAGTGCAAAGAGAGAACTTTTTCTGGCTTGACGTATCTCCATCATCTATTGAGCGATACACTGAAACGCGATTACGCATCACTGCATCTGAAGCTAAATATTTCTTCACAACAAAGGAAATTGGTCCCATAATTGCTCAGAAGTTATGGAATCCATTTGAGCCTTCTGAAAGATCTATACTCAGTGAGGAACGCAAGGAAGAAGCTATTATGGAATATTCAAAGACTAGAGACCGCAGTGTAATTCCAATTGGGAAGAAAGGTGTTATCATAAATCCAAAGCTCCCAGGATTTTGTTGTGCACCTGATGGTATAGTCAAGGGAGAAAACCAAAAGTTTTCACATTTCGTCAAAGTCAAGTGTCACAAAATGTTTGTTACATATATAAGTATATTTTCCAATTTTCTCAAGTGTAAGATTCGAATATTTACATGCCTCCAACCATCGCATACATTTGTTCAAATTGGTTTTTGGCTTTGGAAACGGTATGAAGACTACTCCGTCCTGAGGATAACGATTATCGGAATTGCACCATGCATATACACACCGTTTAGTCGGCATTTTCACATACAATTTTCAGATATTTTCGTGATTTTCTCGAAAATGAAAACACCCGGGCTTTGCACATGATTTGTTGAACATTTAACCTACTTGTTTTGAATCATGAAAGATTCATATTTCCCTCTGGAGATGGCGTGTCAATTTGAACCCTGTGGTGACTCCGCCTCCGGTAGTCCCCACTTCGACCTCGAGGCAGCGCCTCGATCAACCTCAAGCCGCGACAGCTGCTCAACGTCGCCCACGGAAACAAGCCATTACTACAAGACCTCTATTCTAACGCTACACGTATAGCACTCGACATCAAGTCATTCCAAAGTCTATTTGTGTTACTAGTATTACATTATCATAATAAATATTACTCCTATGGCTAACTGTGGTGATTCAATTACACTGGGGAACCTTCCAATAAGTCTAAATTGGTGACCCCGACGTGATCCCTGTGGATTACGTTTTGCCCGAAGATAACCCCATCCAGTCACGTGTCACCGCAACAGTCGTTATAACCAGTCATGCCGCTCAGCCATTCACCGACTGCAAATACTGGGGAAATGACTGCTCAACAACTAGCAGAACAACAACAACAACAA